AGTTTCTGAGGTTTATAGAAACAGTGAAGGGCAACTGTAGTTCATCACAACGGATTCTGTCTTAGCTAAAGAACAGGAAGTGAGGAGCTGGTAGCACCCAATACAAAGAAGAGGTAAGGAAATGGTTCTCTGGTGATTGGTGTATGCTACTGATATATCTTAAAATAGTGCATTATATTTCACCAAAGTGTACACAAATTGATAAAAATAATTATGCCGACACCATTAATCAAGGCATCTACAAGACCCATGCAAGTTTCAAGGCTGATGGAGAATACGAACCGCACGCACCATATGATGAGGCTGCACAGAAGGGTGTGTGCATTGGGAGATTATGTTGAGGTCATCAGTGCCAACTCTGGTGCGCCACATGTGCTTGCAATTTTTACTGTCATCAAACATGGAGTGTCCCCCACTCCAGGGACTCAGGAAGCACTGGGACTGGTCAGAACTGTAGGTCTGATCACCTTGTAGTCAAACTGAATTAGCCTACCAGTTGTTTCATCTTGGGAACTTTAACTAACATTCAGAAATCTCAATTAGAACTGTAGTATGTGTGGGTGGCGTAGGATGGGTGCTCTCTTGAGTGCATTCTTGTGTACCTAGAGTGCTAGCATATCTACCTTGATCTGCAGTCCAGGATCATGAGCTTGGAAGTCACTCCCCCAGCCACCTAGGTGTTCCTCCTGCCCACCTGTGACTCACCTATCACCTGAGAGGGGGCGGTATTGCATTGTTGTGGAGTCACTCCCCTCACTGGCCCCTGTAAAGGCTCATGATACGGAGGGACTTGCTCTCTTGGTTGTATCTTTCCATTGCTCTGGTATTCCCTGAGCGTGGCCCCTGTGTGTCTGTATTCCTCTCCCTCTGTTTACTGCTTGGGGGGGGACAATGAAGATAGTAATGTTAGGATGCTTTGTATTTCTAAATTTGTGTACTATCAGGAGTTCCAGGAGAGAGGCTTAGCAGTGATGGAATGTGGGCAGAGAAGCCAGGGAAAGGTGAATGTCTGCAGCTTTGAAGTGTGTCCAGGTTATTCATTGCATGTCTCTTAGGATAACTTATATTGTTTGGGAAGCTGGGACATAGGCCTTTAATGTATGGAGCTGAGGATAAAAACCATTTGTTCCTCTTGGGGTTACGATTGATTGGATTGCCATATGGGCTTGTGATTTGCTATTTTTAGTGGACCTTGTTATCACCAAGTTTGGTTAATAAAAACTCCTTAATAATCCTTAGACTTGTCTGGTGCAATCTCGCTTGCACCCTGCAACACTAGAAATTCCACAGGTATTTTTTAAAAGGCTTTTCTCATATAGGGCTATTTAATAATCAATATGCCTTAATCCCAAAGCTATATATGAATGGAAAACAATTAAAAGCACAAGTAAAGCATTAGCTACCACTTATGAGTGATTATTAAGTGCTAAGTCCTGCTGAGTCCTCCATTTTTCATATTTGAATCTCCTCACTGCCTTATTCCGTCCTCTGGTTTTAAATGTGAAACTGAAAAGGTTAATGACTTGCGCACAATAGCAGTTAAGAAGTGATAGAGCCGAGATACCAGTCCTTTAGCCTGGCAACTTCAATGCCTGTAACCTTACCAAGATTGCAGCCTCATGTGGCTATTTAGATTTAAATGTAAATTAATTAAGACGAAACAAGATCAGAAATTCGCTTCTTCCATCCCACTAATTGTATTTCAAGCACTCCACAGCCTGCTGGCAAGCAGCAAAGACACAGAATATTCCCACTGTCACACAGAGTTCTGGTGGAAGGACACACACAAACAAAATTACAGGGACAGGCATTTGGCACAGGGCAGAAGCATCCATTGAATATGCTACAGAACTTTGCTAATGTTTGCAATATAACGGGCTACAAATATCTATCCTGTGCCCAGAGAGCAAGCCTCTTTATCCACAGTAACCCATTAGTTAGCTCTTCCCCTAAGTGTTTCCCCTTCCTTTTCCTATGTTCTCTTCCCTCTACTATTCCTCTGCCATAACAGCCGTTAAAAGGTGGGAGTGGTGTTTCATTGTGCTTAGCAAGCCTGTTCAAAAGTTAATTGCCAGTTCAGAGAGTCCTCCTTGGCACTTTGTTCATTCTTGTCCCCTTCCATATTCATTCTGACTAAAGAGTGCGAATGCCAGCCTGATTCTCTCACTTCCCCTGCCAAGTTCAACTGCTGAATGGGATTGCGACTACAGACAGCTGGAGCTGAGCTCTGTGTGGAAGAAAAAAATTTCAGACGTGAATAAGTAGCAAGAATAAGTAGCGATAAGAGAGGTAGTCAGGAATAATGAGGAGACTGCACCTGACAGAGGAGGCAGACATCTCAGTAAAGAACTGAGAGCCCAGCCTGCACTTGGACTGGAGTTTGTATAAATGTGAACCTGTAAGGCAGCCCACCCACCCTTTTCACCTTCCACATCCCTCTTCGGGAATACTGGAGGACTTTCCAGATGTGGAATTGTGATAAAGTTCGTTCCAGAACTTTATCTCAAGTGTTTTTAGAACTAATAGTCTCCCTGGCATAGGGTGGAGAAGATTCCCTTAAACTGTCCACAGGGAAGAGCTGGGAGCGCCCTTTATTACATCATACAAAACTCCTGTATATGTTCTACAGCCCCTCACACATCCATAGGTCCATGTCTAACTTCCTAAAAGGATCCTATTGCTGGCTGTCACTTAATCCCCAGTGGAGTAAGGGGTGAAGAGTCTTATATTGACGGGGCTGGGGGGTGGCTGCGACAGACAAGTTTAGCTCCTGTTAAAGTTCCTGATTGATTAGTGGTGACCTTGCTTTGATTGGTCAACAATGCTGTGCTCTACAGGGAATCTTTGTTATTGGTCCAGGGGGCTTCAGTAAGCCTGGGGATGCTCCAGGCTAGAGGTGGTTACTTCCCACACTGGTGGGGAATTCCTCAGTAACAATACCCTTGAAATTGACCATTCGGATGTTGATAACTTGCAAATTTCCTGACCCAACGGCCCCTTTCCCTCTATTCATTGAGGTCCTCTAGCTGTCCCTAAGGGAGGCCAAGAAACCCTGAGCTAAGTGCAAGGTTGGAACCCTTGAACTGGTTGAGTTTCATTCCGGGCGGAGTTGTGTCCTTATCCCCAAATTCAGGAGTCTCTGTGTCCTCTGATATCTCCTTTTGGTCATTCTGGGCTCTGAGTCCTGGTCATGTGTGTGGCCGACAGATAACTCCCTCACCGATGTCAAGGACTGAACCAGAGCCTCTGCATTTCAATCTTGTTCATCATGCTCCATACAAACAGCTTCCTCGGAACTTCATCTCTCCATCCAGACCCTTCTCCCATCTCCAAAAGGAAGTCAGCACACCGCATTTATCACCACTATCTTAGTTCCCACAAAATCCTTTCAATGGATTTTCTTCCTCCCGTGGTTAAATGAAATTAGCTTTCAAGAGAGCCGGTGTTTAACTGACCAAAGCGGGGGCTGTAAGAACCTTGTTCAGTGGAGTGATCGGACAGCAGTGAACAGATAGAACACTGCAAGGCAGAGGAAAGGCAGAAGGTTGGCCCTGTGCACTGCACTGGCGTCTCACTGGGAGGGAAGGTAGGATGCTCCTGTAGCAATTGTTGCCTGACACCAGTATGCCACATTGGGTGAAAGGGGGAGGATTGCAGGTAGTATTAAAAGTAATCAGAAAATCAGGGCTCCACTGCCATTCCAGCTCCCCCTGCAGATGCCTAGAAAGACAGTGCATGGCGGCAAAAGTACCTAAGCTACCGCCACCCATGGCATACACGCAGATGCAGTGCCAGGCTCCTGGCTTTGCTGAGGTCTGGCCCTGGCTATCTGAAAGCCAGTTATGGAATAGGGGATGTCAATTTCAGTGGCTTACTTGCTATACCGTAACACCAGCCCGCAGCACATAAATCCTTAGACACCAAGAAGATGCTTTAAACGAATGTCTTCTATAGACATTTAAACCAGCGTTCCCAGTGGAAATTAGTGGATCACGATTCTTTGGCTGAGGGTTTTTCTGAAAGCTTGGCTGGGGTTACAAATTGGTGCCCTAAGGTTCACTTCCCTTGTGCTTCACATACTCAGACTTGTTTAGGAAGAGACTGAGGTTTCTAGGGACACTTGTCACTCCATGGTGGAGGCGACCTGCCTTGGCACTCTCATCTTTGAGACAGAGATCTCAGCGAAGGTGTTTCTTTTCTGTGTCTTGCGCAAAGGGGAAAGAAGGAACTGTAAAGGTAATTGCTTTGTGAATGAATGAGAACCAAGCCAGCTTGCACTCAGAACAAACCGTCCTTTCTGCACCAGAGGCCAAACCGGCCATAGTCAACACTCCCCATTCATTTAGAAACCAGGAAGACTCAAAATTTTGGTTAATGCTCCCCCCCAGGCCACTCTAGCAGAGCAGATAAGAGCTGTGCCCGTCTTCCTCCTACTCCGAACTGGATGGGGCCCCTAGTGCAAAAAAAGTGACAAAAAAAGGAAATCTGACCCCTCCCCCTTTGCCTTCTCCCACTTCCGGTGGCCTGTTGGGGGGGGGGTCGGTGACCGGCAGTAGCCAGCCCCCCAACAGCAGCCCGCTGCTGTTCGCGCTGCGGGGCCCAGACTGCTTTTTGTCAGCCTCATTTTGAGCCAGCGAGGAAGCTGTGAGGATGTGAATGACTTTCTTCCTCTTTCCCGAGGCGCCCTTGAGTGCACAGCAGAGAGGCTGGTGAGCTGCCTGCACTCTGTCACGGCTCGCACCCCGGCCCCCCGGCGCGACACCCACCCCCGGGGCCTGGGCTTTGGTCCGCGCGATTGCACCCATCCCGGGGGACTGGACAGTAGGAAGCTCCTCCCCCTCCCCAGAATGCAGGAGGGGCTGTGGCGTTCCCTGCTCCCGACCCTGGCGCGCGGCTCCAGACGGTGCACCTGCGCTTGGCTGCGCCGCCAGTCCGCCCATTCAGCTGCGCGCTCCTGGCCGCCACCGCCGCCCGCAGCCCAGCGCCCCCGCAGCCTCCCCATGGCCAGCCCGGCCCTTGCGGCAGCAGCCCTCTCCCTTCAGGTACGCGGAGCCTCGGCGTTTGTAGTAGGGGGTGGGGGGAAGCATTGGAACCCGGATCTCGGGAGTCGGCGCGCCTTAGTGCCCTTGGGTGCATCGTCTTCCTCACCCTGGCACCGGGTTCTACCTCTTTCCGTCCCTTGGAGGAGCCTGGCCTGGGAGGTCCCTGCCGGCCAGGTCAGAAGCCGCTCCTGGGTAGTGACCAGTCCCGGGGAACGTGAGGGTTGGCGCTTGGGCGGGGGAGGGCGTCTGGGCCGCCAAATCCTACAGCCACCCCACAGCCACCCCCACAGCCTCCTGCGGGCTAGGATCCCGTTCTTCCCCGCCTCCCGCAGTCATTTCACCTAGTAGGCTTTTTTTTTTTTTTTTTTTTTTAATGCCTGCACCCTTTCTCAATTAGCTCGGATCGTGGCATCTTTGTCCTTTCAATTGCCCCATCGTGGCAGGAGGTGTTTTGGGGTGTTTGGTGTCCATCACGGGAGGACCCTTCCGATGTGCAAAACGCTTCGTGCCGCTCCCCACCCCTTTCGCAGTAGTTTGTGCACCCGTGATGCACGAGGGAAACCAGCAGATTTTCTTTCCCCCTTCGAAAAGGCTTAAAACCCCAGTCCAGACGCTTGACTCGGATATAGGGGAGACAATCGCCTTGCTGTTCTAGGCTGGCCGACGCTGGGCCCAGGGCTGGCCTGGAATGTGACCCGTGTTCCCCCAGGCTGACGCAGGGGCACTCACAGCCGCGACCTGGGGCCAGGACGGCCGCGGCAGGCGGCGTTCGTTCCCTGGTCGCGCCGGCTCAGGGCTTGGGGCCACTGGAGCCACGTCCTGTTGGCTCTGGGGACCCTGGAGGTATGGTGAATCACGGCGACCGCCTTGGACCCCCTGCACCCACCTGGTTTGATGTAATGAGGACGTCCTTTTCCTTGTAGGACTGCAATAAGGGATGCGCTGCGGAATGGAGCGGAGCCGTAGGAGCTGGAGAGGTGGCCAAGTCTTTCCTGGTGAGTTTGCTAAGAGGTTTAGTGTCTGAAACAGCCTTCAGCTGTGTGCAGTGTAAGCCCGGGGCTCGGGGCGAGTTTTCACCTAGGAGGATGGGGGGGCGCCTTTGGGTGTGTTAATCACATCAAGCAACATACCTGGCTGTTAAGTGATTGTTCTATCACGTGTCCTAAATACTGCCTAGACCTTTGTCTGATTGTCCGATTGCAAAATATGGGGTGCCACTTAGAACCCTTACTTTCCTTCTAGAAGGTATTCTAGTTGGCATTCCTCTCATAATGGAGCATCAATCACTGTTGAGGAGTTTTTTTTTTTTTTGGAAGGTCAGTTCAGATTTACTGAGAGAAAGATCTTCCACCCGCTGGTTCACTCCCCAAACAGTCACAATAGTCAGAGCTGAGCCGATCCAAAACTGGGGAGCCAGGAGCTTCCTCCAGGTTTCCCGCATGGGTGCAGGTGCCCAGGCCCCTGAGCTGTTCTTTGCCTTCCCAGGATATCAGCAGGGAGCTAGACTGGAAGTGTAGTAACCAGGACAAGAAGTTGTGCCTATATGGGATGGTAGTGACACAGGCAGAGGATTTGTGTACTGCGCCACCATGAATTCAGCCCCCAGGTGCACCAGGGAGCAGCAGCTGATGGTGTCACCTCTTTGGGTTTCCTCCTAGTCTTGACCTGCCTGTTGTGGCTCTTTGGCTAGTGAGCCTGCATGTTGAAGATCTCTTGCCTGTGTGTCAGGCATTGTGTAATTGTGTGGGAACAGTTCTATCTGCTATCCGTGAAGACTAATGCACTGAAGCTCACATTGAAACATTGCTTTTTTTTCCCCCCTAAGATTTATTTATTCTTTACTGGAAAGGCAGATTTACAGACAGAAGGAGAGACAAAGAGTAAGATCTTCCATGTACTGGTTCTTCTTGAAGCCTATGGTGGGAAAACTCCCAGACCTTAAAGGCATGAGAAAAATGTGGAGTGTCAGAATTCGATTCTGAAGAGGAAAGGATCATTGATTTTTTTTTTTTCAAATCTATTTTCTTTCAAACAACGTGGCTAAAAATTGTTTTAAAATATGTCCTTATGGGGCCCTGCGGCGTGGCCTAGCGGCTAAAGTCCTCGCCTTGAACGCGCCAGGATCCCATATGGGTGCCAGTTCTAATCCTGGCAGCTCCACTTCCCATCCAGCTCCCTGCTTGTGGCCTGGGAAAGCAGTCGAGGACGGCCCAAAGCCTTGGGACCCTGCACTCGCGTGGGGGAGACATGGAAGAAGTTCCTGGCTCCTGGCTTTGGATCGGCATAGCATCAGCTGTTGCGCTCACTTGGGGAGTGAATCATTGGACGGAAGATCTTCCTCTCTGTCTCTCCTCTCTGTATATCTGACTTTCCAATAAATAAATAAATCTTTAAAAAAAAATACGTTCTTATTGCCAGCCATGTCCCCCTCAGAATTGCATTTCTTATCTACTCAAAGCTGCTTACTCACCTTGGGTTAATATCACTTCCTTTTGAACACTGTATAGCTGTGCCATCTCATTTTAGAATTCCTAGATGATTTCTCATAGAGCTCCAGTTGAACGCTTCTTGTTAGCTTCAAGAACTGCACATGTTTTCGCCAAGAAAGGAAATGACGAGTTCTTGATAAAATTCTGAAAATCCCTGTTAGCAAGTTGCTTTAGACACTGAGTCTAGGGCAGTGGTTGGAGAAATCAGAGGTGTGGAGTGTTCCGGTTGTGAAGAAACCACCTGTCATACAAAAGGATGCAATGCTTTACTGGAAGAGAACAATGCTTGGGGATTTAATCATTAATAGCCAATATCTTGAAATTTAGTATTAGGAAGTTAGAATTACAGGAACACTAAGTACTGTGTGGAAGGATGCCTTTCTCAAATTCTGCTTCATTGTTAATGTTCTCCTGTTTGAGCCAGCGGCACACTAACCAGTGAGCCCAGGAATACCTTAATGAGAAGGTTCAGGAAACAAAAAAAAAAAAAATTGTCCATGCTGACCGGGCTGTGATCAGCTTAACTGTGGCTACAAGAAGAGTTTTTACTTGGACTATTTAAAAATATATAACCCAGATCCCACTCCAGATCTGAGCCAGAACTTCAGAGAGTTGGGGCAGGGTGTAGTCGTTTACTTACGTCACAATGGTGATTAGTACTGTGTAGTCAGGGGTTGAGAACCTTGTCCCAAAACTATCAGCCTTAGAGATCTCATGAACATGAAGAGGCAGAGCTGAAAGTCACCTGTAAGGAGGGAGTATTATAGAAACTGGAGAACAAAGGTCAGCATTGCTCAGATTCCTGTATTTTACCACAAGGAAATTGTCCATCCTCCCTGCACGGTTTGCTTATTCTGGTTTGAAAACAACAAGAAATTGAAACATGGCAGCCCCAGTTTTAGTCTTGCCCTCAGAGTGCCTCATGCTGAATTGGGCTTACTTCTGTTGAAGCAACTTACTGTCTAGATTGCAAGGGGAAAAGGAAGATGGTGTACCATCTTAAGAGACACAGAGCCGGGGCTCATGGGGAACGGACATGCTGGTCTGGAGAAGGTGTCACCGCCATAGTGGTGCATCCTTGTCTCCAGTTAGTAGCTGTGATGCCTCTGGGACTCTAGCCTTGCTAGCATGCGTGAGCTCCGTAGCTGTGTTCACAGCATGATTCCAGTTTTTTGAAATTTAGTATTAGTATCTCTTGACCTTTAGTCCTGGTTCCAGCTTCCTGCTCCCGCAGGCACTGGTGAGGGGGTGCACAGTGGGAACTCAGGAAGTTGGAGCCTGCTGTCCATGGGGGATCTGAATGGAGCTCCCGGGCCCTGTTCTGCTTCGGCCCACTTTTATTTCTGGTGGGTCTTCGGGGAGTCAACCAGCAGGTGGAAGATCTCTGTCTCCTGCCTCCCTCTCTCTTCCAAATATAAACAAAATGAAGAGGAGGGGGAAAAGGCAAGAGTTGGATATTCCTCATAAGCTGTTGGGGTTGAACCTGTCATTTGTTTTCATCTGGTTGAAACTCTCCTTTCCTCATTGATTTGTCAGCATTCTACAACAATTCCCGACAAGCAATGGTGTGGCAATCATTTGTATGCATCCATATGACAACTGGTCATTTGCAATGGGGAACTGGCTCTCTGGAGAGCAGGCAAAACCCTGCTGTGTGGAGTTGTTGCCTTTATTTGTCTTTCTTTGATTATGAGGTCTGTTTATATCCACTAAAATTTATTTGAAATGCAGAGAGGGAGGAAGAGATAGGTGAGAGGTAGGTAGGTAGATAAAAAGTTACAGATATTCTATGTACTGATTCACTCTTCATGTACCTGCAGCAGCCAGGTCCGGGCCAGACTGAAGACACAGGTCAAGAATTCCTTTTGTGTCTGCCACATGAGTGGTGGGGACTCAAGTATTTGACCCATTTTCTCCTGCCTTTCCATGAAGCTGGAAGTGGAGCAGCGAGAGTCAAACTGGCACTCTTGTGGGATGCTGGCATCACAGGTGGCATGTTAACTTTCTGTGCCACAGAAGCCAGGACTGATCCATACATGTTCCTTCTCTGCTTCTGTTGACTTCACGTTGCTTATTTCACCAGCACATCCAACAGATTTCGAAGGCTTATGCCATGAATGCTTTGGGGGTTGTTGCACATAGCCATTGCCACGCAGAGGTCCAGTTCTTATGTAATATGTCATTGTAGATTTCACTCTTGTATTGTGGAAGATGTCTGTTCTTTCCCAAATGCTCAAGCTGAATCTTAAGATGGGAGTGAAGAGTGGATCTGCTTCCGTTTTGGCACCCTTTTGCCTACTCCAAAGACAATTTTGTCACTATTCATAAATATTACCGAAATTTGGTTTTGATACTCTGTTAGGCAGTGTGCGCAGCAGAAGCTGAATAAACAGCTGGATTTGGAGTGCTGGTGTGATCTGTCTGGCTCCCATAATATTGAATGTCTGTGGTCATTTCTAGCTATTCAAAGTCAGGTAACACCACATTTGGCCTTCTTTGTCACTTACCCTGGGGATGTTCTGTTACTCATCTTTGTCATGTGCCAGCACGCAGTAGCTCATAAGGCACAAGACTAAGAGATGGACGCTCAAAGAGCTAGAAAAAGGAAGCCTTAAGAATGAATAACATAAGATAAAGAAGCAGTGAAGCGGGGCCCGGCGGCATGGCCTAGCGGCTAAAGTCCTCGCCTTGAATGTACTGGGATTCCATATGGACGCCGGTTCTAATCCTGGCAGCTCCACTTCCCACCCAGCTCCCTGCTTGTGGCCTGGGAAAGCAGTCGAGGACGGCCCAAAGCCTTGGGACCCTGCACCCACATGGGAGACCTAGAAGAACTTCCTGGCTCCTGGCTTCAGATCAGTGCAGCACTGGCTGTTGTGGTCACTTGGGGAGTGAATCAATGGACGAAAGACCTTCCTCTCTGTCTCTCCTCCTCTCTCTATATCTGCCTTTCCAATAAAATAAACTAATAAATAAATCTTTAAAAAAAAAGCAGTGAAGCGAGGGTCAGTATTGACTCTTGGCACATGAGCCAGTCACAGAGCACCTTTCTGAGTTCACCATTCTTATTTTATGTGTACAAATCAAACATTATACAAATCTGAGAAGTGTAGGCTACTTTAAGTGTACTTGCAGGTTACAATAACAATCATTACCAAATATATCCACTGATTACTTGTTTTAGCTGCTATGCTCCTAGGTACTGGACAGTGTGGTGCTAAGTAAACAATTCTTCATTAATACGCGCCATTGATCCCCTAACTCCATGGTCGTTATGGCAACCAGGCCTAGAGGCTGGTATTCCAAACATCTCTCCCTGCCTATGGGGGTCTTACCACAGGGAGGCATGCCTTCCCCCTGCCACTCTCAATAGCCAGGAAAGGGTTAAGCACCTGGTCTCTGTCAATAAGGTGAGGTCACCAACTAGACAGATTGTGCTAATCTAGAGTCAGGCTTCAGTGAAGCCTGGACCAAGCTAGGGCTAAAGCTAAAAATCCCTACACATTGATGCTGCTGCTGCTTCTCCAGGCTAAAGATCTCATCATCACGCCGGCCACCACCTTGAAGGAGAAGCCAGACCCAAACACGCTGGTGTTTGGAAGTGTGTTCACCGATCACATGTTGACAGTGGAGTGGTCATCTGAGAGTGGGTGGGAGAGACCCCACATCAAGCCTTTTCAGAACCTCTCGTTGCATCCTGGATCTTCGGCTTTGCATTATGCGGTGGAGGTAAGTTCGTAGGACTAGAGGGTGGCCTGGGCTTTTCCTCCATGTGGATCCTGAGTCGCATCCTCTGATGGAGTAGCTTTTAGGGGCGTTTGCTGCCACGGTTGGATTTCTTCACAGTCCTGCTTCTGATCTGGCTCCCTGCTGATGCATACCCTGGGACACAGCAGGTGATGAATCTCTTCCTCCCCTTCATCTCATTTCCTCCCCTCTCTCATTTTGTCTCTCTCTGCCTTTCAAATAATTTTCTAAAATTTTTTAAAGGTTTTTTTTTTTCTTTTTTTAATCAGAAAGCCAGAATTACAGAGAGAAGAAGAGACAGAGAGAAAGAATCTTCTATCCCACTGGTTCACTCTCCAAGAGGCCACAACGGCCAGAGCTGATCTGATCTGAAGCCAGGAGCCAAAAGCCTCTTCCAGGTCTTCCACATGGGTACTGGGTCCCAAGGCTTTTGGGCCATCCTGGACTGCTTTCTCAGGCCACAGGCAGGGAGCTGGATGGAAAGTGGAGCAGCTGGGATTAGAACCTGTGTCCATATGGGATCCTGGCATGTGCAAGGCAAGAGCTTTAGCTACTAGGCTACTGCTCTAGGCCTCTAGAAAAATGTTAAAATAGCTTTTAGTAGCATGTGCTGTATCATGTTTACTAGGAAAAGTCATATATTCCTTTTCACATTTTCCTATAGACAGCTTGAATTGAGGATAATTTTTTTTTTTTAAGATTTATTTATATTGCAAAGTCAGATATACAGAGAGGAGGGACAGAAAGGAAGATCTTCTGTCCTACTGTTCACTCCTCAAGTGGCTGCAGTGGCTGGAGCTGAGCCAACCTGAAGCCAGGAGCTTCTTCTGGGTCTCCTACCGTGGGTGCAGGGTTCCAAGTTTGGGCTATTCTCCACTGCTTTCCCAAGTCACAAGCAGGGAGCTGAATGGGAAGTGGGGCTGCTGGGATTAGAACTGGTGCCCATATGGGTTTCTGGCGTGTTCTGTTATGGCCGTTAAAAATTATTTTGAGGGAGTAGAGAGCTCCAACAGGAGCTAGACCCTAGCCTCGGCTGACCTGCCATTAGACTCAGCCCCCACACATATCAAAGGGCATTACAGCCATGTTCAAGCTGGTCTGTCCCTGCTACCCACCACCCCAACCTGGCTCTATGTTTACCAACAGAAACCATAGCCCACCTGCAAGGTTCACCTACCAGGCCCACTTCTACCTTCTGGGTCTTGTGTGCCCACACAGGTGGTTGCTGCAACCTAGTCTGGCCTGGTCCAGCCCACCACTAGTTCCAAGTCTCCCTGATGGGTGCTATAGCCCAGCCTGGCGCCATCCCTAGCTCTTATGTGTAGCAGCCTATCCTATTGCAGATGACACCCAGTCTTGGATCCTGCACATGCCAGTAGGTGCTGTGGTTTTGACAGCCCAACCTGGCCCCCAAGCCAGCCCACACACATGCCAACAAGTTGTGCAACCATGTCTTGCCTGGCCTGGCCTTCCCCCAGCCCCAGCTCTCATGTTCACCAGCAAGAGCTGTGGCCTTGTAGGAGAGTCCACCAGATCCTCCTTCCAGGCCTGCTCCCAGACCCCGATCTAACGTGTTTCAACTCCTGCCTGGCATAGTCTCCCCTCAGTCCCAGCCTTTGCATATGCTGGCAGGTGCTGCAGCCTGGCCCAGCCTGCCCTGTTCCCAACCCCAGTCCTATGAATGTTGGTGAGTTCCATGGTCACACCTGGCTAGGCCCATAACTACCTGCAGTTCCCGTAGACCCTTGGGTGAGCCCACAATTCCTCCTACAGAATCTTCTCCCAGACCCTCAGATGATATGGCCCAGCTTTACATGTCAAGGCTCAGCCTCACGTGACCCATCTGTTGCACAGATTCTCACTGGTGGGTACTTCAGCCTAGCCCTGTCAGACATTCCAGTCCCCCACCTACAGATGTAGTGGCCTGGTCCCCACGGTCGTTCCTACTTGCCAGTGCTGTGGATTGCTCAGAAATGATTCTACACTTGTCAAGTACTCCTTCAGTGGCCCCTACACCCAAACATCCCCCAATCCCCTTCCCCAGGCAATCTGTAACCTCCTGCCATAGTGCGGGTTTTGGGTGGCTGCTGTGCTTGTCTTCCTGTGGCCTGCCAGTGTGGGGACCACAGTCTTCCATTTTCTCTTGACCTCACACTTTACCTTAGTCTTAACGTCTTAGACATCTTTCCCACAATATTTGGGACACTGGAAATAAACAATTTTCAGCCTATTAAGAGATTACAAAATAGCAATAATAAAGTATTAGCCATTATTATGACAAAGTAACTAGTTCAGGTTATTGTAGTCCTGCACATTGTCCTGTTTTAAGTACTTTACGTCCCATCACTTAATTATCTTATATGAGGAAGCACGTAATTTTGCATTCGAGATCTGGAGATACACTTCCTGGGCTCAAATCCCGCTTCTGTTGCTCTCTAGGGCACTCTGGGAAAAGGTAGTCATTTTTGCCTTCATTTCCCTATGTAGAGAACTGCGGTAGTAATACAACTGAACTCATAGAATACATGGAATTATAAAGTTAAGTCATTCATTCAAGCGCATAGGGCCCTGCATGCTACATAGTGAGAGCCCACCTTGCCAGCTGCCATGGGCCCTGCTGAGGCAGCAGCAGCAGCAGCTCTTACACAGGCAGGCTCAGGATCATGTATTTCCTAAGAACACACAGCAGTAAGTGGGGCATCAGGGATCCACTACCTTATCAGAGAGTCTGCCTTCAATCTCTTCCTCTGTCTGCTGACTTCAGCTTCCAGTGCAGGTGCTGCGTGACCACAGTGATGGCTCACGAAGATGTGCACTGAATTCCTGATTCGGCCTTCAGCCCAGCCAGACTTGGTCTTTAGGCACTGAGGGAAAGAAGCAGCACAGGGGAACTCCTCCATCTACTCTGATGCTTCTCAACTGAATCAGTAATCCTTTAAAGTTATAAATCAGATAATTTTGGAAATCCACTGCTTATGCATATGGAACCAAAATTTGTTTTATTTATGAATCTAAGTTCCACTCTATTTCTTATTCGTATTGAACTGAATGAGTTGTTCCATCATGTGCACCAAGCCCTTTGCCATCTCATAGGACATAGTGAAATAGTGCTTTTAAGTTTGACTAAATCTGAATCTCAATCTTAGTATGAGGCCTGTGTTTCAATACTGCCTTCCCTAGCATTCATGTGGGCAACCTGGGTGCAATTCTGAGCTTCTGGTTCCCACCTCACCAGCCCTGGCCATTGGATTCATTTTTTTTTTTTTTTATCTGCAATGCAACCAAGCCACATTGCAAGAGATTAAAAATCAAAATAAACCTTTAGTCTTCTGTTATTAAGCCAAACATTTATATCTGAAATAACTGTGTGTGTGTGTGTTTTTTTTAAGATTGATTTATTTTATTGGAAAGGCAGATTTATAGAGAGGAAAGACAGAGAGAAGGATCTTCTGTCCAGTGCTTCACTACCCAAGCAACTCAACAGCCAGAGCTGAGCCAATCTGAAGCCAAGAGCCAAAAGCTTCTTCCGGGTCTCCCACATGAGTATATGGTCCCAAGGCTTTGGGCTATTTCCTGCTGTTTTCCCAGGCCACAAGCAGGGATTTTGGATGGGAAAGGAAGTAGCTGGGACAGGAACAGGTGCCCACATGGGATCCCGGTGCTTGCAAGGCGAGAGTTTAGCCACTGAGCCTTTGTGTCAGGCCCATTAGCTAAATGTTTTAAATATAAACTTTCACATTTTTTTCAAATTGGCCTTTTTTATTTGTTTAAAAGTCAGAGTTACAGAGAGAGGAAGGGAGAGAGAGAAATAATCTATTCACTGGTTGAAGTGGCTGGAGAGACCAGGGCTGAACCAGGCTGAACTCAGGAGCGATGGACTCCACTTGGGCTGTCTTCCACTACCTTCCCAAGTGCATTCTCAGTTTGATGAGAAGTGGAGTGGCTAGGGTTGGACTCTGTGCTCACAAGGAACGGCTGTATTGCAGGTAGATTCTTAATTCACTGTGCCACAATACTGGCCCATAGCACCGACCCATCTTCTCCAACATTCTGCCTTTTTACTTCAGTTGATGTTTTGATGAGAAAAATGCATTTACATTCAAAGCAATCTTTCAGTGTTTGCTTTAAGTTTGCCATTTGTGTGTCTTTGTTTATAGACTATAAATAATCCTCGGAGTAGATTTTTGTAAGAAGTGGGTTCTGTTTGTTGTTGTCCGCCCCCCCCCCCCCCAGTCGTCAGTTGTCCCAGCAGCATGTACAAAGACCATGCTGCCTGTTCCCTTCTGATAGTCCGAATTGCTTCTGTCCTTGACCTAGGGGTCTACCAGATCTTCACTCTCCTTTCATTTTCTTGTCTGGCTTGGTCTCAGTTCCTTTTTCTTGTTATGCCTGACTGTCTATGCAAATGCCCACTACCATATTAATACTACAACTGGAACAAAGCCTTCTTTCTTGACTAATGTCTAAGTTTCATTTTCTTTTTCTATGTAACTTCATTTTGGTCTATAAAGTTGATCAAGTTTTGTCATTCAGTTTGTATAAAGAAAATAGAGTGTTTGATTACAATTTTCATTTAAGTCACATGAAGGTCATTAAAGATGGAAAGTAACTTACAGGCCAGCCTTGTGGCACATCAGGTTACACCCGGCCTGCAATGCCATCATTCCATATGAGTGTTGGTTTGAGTCTGGCTGTTTCGGTCATTTAGGGAATGAAGCAGGATATGGAAGTTTCTGTCTCTTTCCCTTTCTCTCTTCTATCCATCTGTCCGCCTCTCTCCTCCCTCCCCTGCCCTCCCCACACCCTGGTCTCTATAACTTTCTTACTGCGCATTTCAAAATAAATAGATAAATGGTAACAATAAACAAACAAAAAGAGAGAAATTTAGGGGAAACCAGCACCACCATCATTGTAAGGTTTTTAACCCAGGAGCCTGAGTTGACTTTACACATTTAGTGAGTTTTTAAATAACTTGGTGAAATGTAGTATTTTTCTTTTAGGTCTGGGGATTTTGTTAGACTCCCTTCCACCAAGTACTTGTTTTTAAAGATGAAGATTTATGGGGGCTGGCCTGGTGGCTCAACAGGCTAATCCTCCATCTTGTGCTGACATCCAATATGGGCACTGGTTCATGTTCCAGTTGCTTCAGTTCCTCTCCAGCTCCCTGCTTACGCGAAAGCAGCGGAGGATGGCCCAGGTCTTCAGGACCCTGTTACCCACGTGGGAGATTGGGTTTCTGGCTTTGAATCAACGGCTCAGCTCTGGCTGTTGCAGCTGTTTGGGAGTGAGCCAGTGGATGGAAGATCATGCTCTCTGTCTCCTCTCTATAAATCTGCCTTTCAAATAAACAAACAAATAGCCTCACATCCTCTGGGCTCATCCATGTTATCACAAATGCTGGCGTTTCCCTCTTTGTAAAAGCCAACAAGTATCCGTGTCCTGCCTTTTGTCACTAATGTTGTATTGAACACGCCGACGTCATCACTCTGGGACAGTTCTTTCTGTACATTCTTGCCAGCACTGGCGCTTTGGACGATGGTTACTCCAACTGTAATTTTTAAATTATGAAGTAATTGTGAAGGCTGTGGGATTACCTCTTTACTTTTAGCAAAGTTCTTTCCTGAAAAGCTATTTTGTTTAATATTTAATAATACTGTTGTACCTCTCACTGGCTTTGTTTTAGATTATGTTTTTTTCTGCATTATTATTGTTTTTGATTTAGGTGTTGTCAACTACCAATCTGACCACCATAAGCTTTTCACTGAACTTTAGCCCCAAGACACATCCAATGTCATTTTACATTCTGATTAATTGTGCAATTTATGCAATTTTGGTATGTCGTATTCTGTTACAAGCTTACAAAGGCCTAATTTTTCATTGTCATTCAATTCAATGTATTTTCTCATTTCCACTAGTTTTCTTCTTTGACTTATGGTTTACCCAGTAATAAGTTTATTACTTTCCAAAATCCCAGTATTTCCTCATTATGTTTGGTATTATTTTGACTTATGTTTGGAAACCATGTGAAAAGACTGCATTTTGCAGGTGGTACCTATGGATTCTGCATGCCCCTTATGTATGTTTTGTTTCTGTTGTTCAATGTCCGTTATGTCTCCTGAACATTTTCACCTGTTGGTGCTATCAATCACTTAGAGAACCAGTGTTAGTTTCCCAACACAGGAATTAATTATTCTCTTGGCTCTGGTTTTATCAACATGTACCTACTTTAAAATCTTTTCCAATCCCCTCTTGGTTCGTCTGGGGTAATAGCTTGCAGAAGATAAAGGCTTAACATCATGTTATCTTGATGTGTCTGGCTTCATTGGTTTTGGGGGACAGAACCAGCTCAGTTAAAGGTGGATTATTCTTAGTGGATGAGCTGCATTAACTTAAAGAAATTGGGTCCTTTTTGGGGTGAAGGGAGGCTCACTCCATGGGAGCTTGTAATATCTGTGTGGTGTCAATAGACAGCTTCATGATGGAACAGTTTTTCTTACTTCCGCTAGTGTCTTACTGAACAACACGACTTCTGCCAAGCAAAAGAGGACCCTGCATTCCCATGAGATTCTAATAATAAGAGGACTTCTTTTCCTTCCAGCTACTTGTCCTTTTCCTCAGGTTAATAAAGATTTCAAGGGTCTGGTGTGATGGCGCCAAAAGTTGGTCTTCCGCCCTGTGGCACTGGCATCCCATGTGGGTTCCAGTTCATGTGCCAGGTGCTCCCTTTTAGATCCAGCTCTCTACTTGTGCCCTAGGAGGGCAGGCAAGGGTGGCCTGGGTCCTTAGGATTCTGTATCCACATGGGAAATGCAGAGGAAGCTCCCAGCTCCTGGCTTCAGACCAGCCTAACCACAGCTGTTGTGCCATTTGGGGAATGAACCAGCAGATTCAATCTGTCTCTCCTTCTTTTTCTGTAACTATGACTTTTGGATAATAATAAATAAGTCTCAAATCAAGTCTGTGGGAAACAAGAGATTGTTTTCAGTTAGTTCCTCTTCACTTGTTCTCTTGTCTTCAGTTGTTTGAAGGACTGAAGGCATTCCGTGGAGTAGACAATAAAATCCGACTGTTTCGGCCAGATCTCAACATGGACAGGATGCTTCGGTCTGCAGTGAGGACAACTCTGCCGGTGGGTACAGTTCCTTTCTGTGTTTATGACCAAGCAAAGCCTTCTGAACAATGAGATTAACATCAGTATATTGTATTGATGATCGCTGACTTTATTTCTTATTTGTTTTACAAAGAAAACATCAATACCCTTGGTCAGTTCTACAATAGTTCCATTTCTTTATGAGTATCTCAGGTGGGAGCAGGTGAATGTGTATGTGAGAGAGAAAAGATTAAGAAAAACAATAATGTCAAGAATATATGAAATCGTTATATAGAAAATACAAAATGTGGTATGCCACATGGAGTTTGGGGGGGGTGTTTGCTTTCAGTATTAACCATCTATGGTGATGTAATTATTTTATTCTGGATTTTGTTTGGTTATTTTGAAAAGGAGCATCAAAGGAATTTTTTTAAACTCCTAAGATGAGTGTTTTAGGAAGGAGGGTTTTGTGTAGAGGGGCAGCTTGGAGGTTTGCGGCCTAAGACGCCATGGCCCCGTAGGGTTAGCATCCGGGCAGGCTCCAGGACCATGAAACCAGGAAGCAGACATAAGCTCACTAGGCCTCCATCCTCTGTTCTCTCCTTACAAAGCCTTCCTGGTTTGGTTGTAGGGCTCCACCCTAGTAAACTCATCCAATCAATTCACATCTCCAGTTCCCACCTACACACACTAAAATCATTCAAGCCTCCCTGGCAATCCATTAAACAGTTATTAACATGTGACTTTGTTATTTAAATGTCTGCCTGAGTTTGGGAAGCCAAATCCTTTTCAGACCACAACAAAAACAGAAAACTGATTTGGGCTCCGAAACCTTCTGAGATCCCCACAGTTGTTTCATAAGCTAAAGAATTTCATATGTATAAAATTCATAATGCTTTTGCACCAAAATAGACATATTTTTTTAAAAAGATTTATTTATTTATTTATTTAAAAAATAGAGCCGCAGATGGAAAGAGATAAAAAACTATTTTCCCATGTACTGATTGCCTCCGTGAGAGCTGCAGTAGTTAGTTCTAGACAAGGATGTTAGTTATTTAACAGTTAAAATTCTAGTTGTTACCATATTAATACTCGCGGCTAATTCCCGCAATCTGGTTCCTTACCGTGAGCTGAAAACACCAGACGCAACAGGTATCTTAGGAGGTTTATTCCAGCGGGGCAGGAACAGCACCGCGTTGTGGCTGGTGAGGAGAAAGGGGAGGAAGAGGTGTTGGGGGAAGCGGAAGGAGAAGAGAGAGAGAACGCCGCCCCTGGAGCCTTTTGTCACTCAGGTTAACCTGCACGGTGTGGGGACTGGGATTGGCAGAGATTGAGGGCAGGCCCCAGGGGATTGGTGCCTGAGACTGTCACAGGTGATTGCCTAAGAATGATTGGTAAGTGGGCGGAGCTGGGGGCGGGGCTGGGAGGTTGGGGGTGGGATTCTCAGGTGACACGCCTGATTGGTGGACGGCTGGATTGGCGCGAATTCCGTGAGCTCTGAGGAAGAGCAAATGGCGCCGGGTCCAGGGTGGGATATTCGAATAACTCCTTGCAAAGGTCAGTGCCAGGAACCAGGAACTCCGTCCTGGTCTCTCACGGGAGGACGGGGACCCAGCATTGGGGATCATCTTCTGACACCTTCCCGAACATATTTGCAGGAAGCTGGATCCAAAGCTCACTCTGATAGGGCAGGGCTGCATTGCACCTGCCGGCTTTCTCTGTGACGCAGGGCTGGCCCCTGAACTTATCATGGAGCTATGGTTGGAACTGGAATCTTGTAATGATGAGAAAAATTTGCAAACTTTTTGAAGTACCCTGGTATATACTCTAAAGGAATTTAAATTCTTTGGACTAAGTCCTACTTCCATTTGGGTTTTTTTTTTCAACCCATTACTGATAGGTAACTGGGAAAAACTTTGAGGTAGAGACAGGAGGAAGGGAAAGTATCATTTGTTGAATAGCAACTCTACTAAAAACAGCTATATTGTTTTTTTAAAGCACTTAATTTATTTATTTTTATTGGAAAGTCAGATATATAGAGAACAGGAAGAGACAGAGAGGAAGATCTTCCGTCCAGTGATTCACTCCCCAAGCGGCTGCAACGGCTGGAGCTGCAACAATCCAAAGCCAGGAGCCTGGAGCTTCTTCCAGGTCTCCCACTCAGGGGCAGGGTCCCAAAGCTTTGGGATGACTGCTTTCCCAGGCCACAAGCAGGGAGCTGGATGGGAACTTGGGCCTCTGGGGTTAGAACCAGCGCCCATAAAAGATCTAGGTGCGTACATGGCAAAGATTTTAGCCACTAGGCTACCTGTATGGGCCCAGTTATATTGTTTTGATGTGGCTCGTTCAAGGACATGAGTTTGAAAGCCACACCTTCTCTGCCTACATAACACTTTTTGCCCACCTGGGGCCTGAGGCAGAGTGGTATTGTGGGTAACCACCCCCCCCCCAAGTCCCCTTAAAAGCCCCAGCTGGGGGAGGGGCATGTTCTCTTGGACACCTGCTTCATTGTCCACACTTCCACTCCCTTCATCTCGCTGACCCTCGGGCTCTTGGTCTTTCGTGTACTGGCTTGTTCTCTTGTTTCCGGTGGAGAGACCCCAGGGGTAGGAGGTAGCAGCCTCTCGCCCTTCCCCTTTCACTTCCTGGCTCAGTCTCCCTGCACATGGCCCACATGTCTTTATGCCTCAACCTTTGAGTAAACCCTACCACTTGCTTATGCCATGTTAGCACCTGTGCTTAAAATGTTTTTTAAGCAGTGGCAAGAACCAAGGACGTAATTAATTAGGCCCAAACCTAGACCACAGCAGTTTCACTTTTCATTTCTTTTTCATCACAGCAATAGGCCTCTGTCAAAAAGATACTGACTTTAAATTATAGTAGTGCCTTTTTCCAAAGAAGACATGAGCCCTGTTAGAACCTCAATGACTTACAATGTTAATATGCTTAATTATGCAATTCAGTTATAATTGGTTTGGGGATATGGTGACAAGTAGGGGTATAATTTCGTTTGCATGTAGAGAAATTATCGTCCCACCTCTATTTAATAGGACGCAGGGAAAGTCACAGAAAAAATATTTTTATTTGGTTTTATTGTTATGGCTTTAACAGTCTGAAAGTTTCCATGATTATATTGATGACAATGCTATATTGAGAGAGAATTCCATCAGTTGCTGCCATTTCCATTCTTCCAGGTATTTGATAAGGAGGAGCTTTTGGAGTGTATTCAACAGCTGGTGAAACTAGATCAAGAATGGGTCCCCTATTCAACATCTGCAAGCCTGTATATTCGTCCTGCACTCATTGGAACTGAGGTAAAAGCTGGCTCCCTGTGTTGGGTTCTGTGTTGAGCAAGTTGTCAGTTATGCTATTTTTTTGCAGTGCATGGAATATAGTTGAGTGCCTCCAATCATCACTTTCTTGATTTCCTTCTCTTGTTTATCAAGATGAGCGGTAGGAATTGTTTTCAGTTTTTGGTGAGATGTAACCTAAAGGAAGGCCCTCTCGCTTCTCTCTTTTATCTGCTAGGATGCTGTGGTGCCTTGCACAGAGTAGCTGAAGTGAAGGAATGGTGAATGGAGGAGGTTGAGTATGGAGGCAGGGGAGGAGCGTGGAGCGCACATGCATCCTTTGGGGTTGGAAGTGAGAAATGAGCTCTTTGGTTGCAGTCTGTTCATTCTCAAGTATATTATCGTGTGGTGTGGTTGCTAGTTTTACTAGGCTGTACGGATGCAAAAAGCAGCATTGTGGACAAGTGGCTGAAGCCATTGATGACAACCTTGGCATTCCATATGCAAGCACTGAAATCCTGCTCTATTTTCCATCCCAATTTTGCTGATGCATCTAAGATGGCATGGAAGATGGCCAAAGTGTTTGGGTGCTTGCCACCTCTGTGGAATACCAGGGTGACCTTTATGGCTCCTGGCTTCACCCTAGCCCAGAAGCCCAGAGCTAAACACTGCAGTGTTCTGGCAAGTAAGCCAGCTGCTGAAAGGCATCTCTCACTCACCCTTGCACTTTCCCTGTCTGCTTTGTTCCCTCCTTCTCTCTACCTCCCTTTTTGTCACTTTGCCTTTTAAATTAAAAAAAAAATTTTTTTTTTTAAGTAGGGAAATAAACGGTAGTGGTTATAAGGCTGACCCAAATTCAGGAATTTTTTTGACACAAATGCCTGCCGAGTGGCTCTTTTTCAGCTATACTTTGCCAACTTAATATTTAATCATGCTTTTGAATCTTAAAAGCTCTGGTTTGTAAAAGGAGGATTTGTCTCAAAATCATGCTTAAGTGTCTATACACACACCCTTTTTATCCACTGATTCACTCCCCAGATGACCACAGCAGCTAGCTCTGAGTCAGCCAATGCCATATTCAAGACTGGAACCTGGCACTCCATAGAGATCTCTCATTTTCCTTCCCTCCTCCATTCTCATTCTCGTCTTTGATTAATTAATTTGTTTATAAGGCAGAGTTACGGAGACAGAGGGAGAGATGGAGACCTTCCATCTGCTGGTTCACTCCCAGGGGGTTACAACAGCCAGGGCTGGACCAGACGAGAGCCAGGAGCTGCTTTTAGGTCTTTTACGTGAAGGGCAGAGACCCTAGAACTGTGGCCAGCCTCTGCTGCTTTCCCAGAGGTATTAGCAGGCTACTGAACTAGAATTGAAATAGCTGGGGTTTGAGCCAGTCCTTGCATGGGATGCTGGCATCGTAGGTGGAAGCTCAACCCACTCTATCATAATTTTGGTCCTAACATTCTCATTCTTTAACTCAATGGTAAATATTAATATACAAATTAACACATGATCATTACTGTAATGATTGTGAATTGTGTAACCTCTGGTAAAATATTTAAATCCGTTTGGATATTATTTTACCTAAATCCCTTGTGAAAAGTTTAACGAGTCAAGTCGTTCACATTATCACAAAATATTCTCATGTTAAAGAAGCATTTTGAGGGCAGGGGTTTAGTCTGCCAGTTAAGATATCTTTGAATGTCCCAGGTCAGGTACCTGCACTGGATTCGGTGCACTGCAGCTTCACTAATGCAGACCCTGCAGTGCTCACGGCTCAAGTCACTGAGCCCTGGGTTGAGTTCCCAGGCCAGGCCCAGCTCCAGGCCATGAGGGGCTCTTGAGGAGTGAGCTGGTGAATGGGGACTCCCTCCATCCCTGTCTATCTCTGAAATAAGTAAATAGAAATCATTTTCTGAAAAGGAATGTCAGTTATCTTTTTAATCCAGATCTTATGAAGTATTTATACATTGATAAACGCATAGAAGAGATAAAAGCTGGAGTACCTCAAACAAGCAATGCTCATGTAGCCATTGGAAATTAGTGTAAAATCAGAAATAATATTTAGGAAAAGAACATACACATGAGTGATTTCCAAGTTTTCACTATGCTGGAGGAAAAGCTGGGAATATGACCGAATGGGTCCCCAGATGGGAAAGCCGGCACTGCTGTTTTCAGACCTAGGATTGCTGATTGTCAGCACCCTGTCTTCTTCCATGACTCTGTGCAGGCACAGTGACTGCCGACACACAGGGGCAGGCCTTGCCTACATTTGGATTGGCCCCATGGAGGGTACTGAGGTTGAGCTCAGTGTTTGGTGAATGCCAGCTTCAGCGGCACAGGCTACGCTTTGAATAAGGCAGAGCAACATTTGACATCATGTAAATGTATTAGATCATCTCACTGAAGCGGTTTTTCCTCCTTTGCAGCTTCCTGGGAAACCTTTCAGTATAGTTCTCGTTAGAGCGAGGGAGAGGGGATCTCTCTGACTGGCCCTGCTGGTCCACGCCTGTATTTCTGACTCATCCCACAGGAGGTGGAAGGGCCAGTTCATCTTACAGACACGCTTTTCATTTCTGTTTGGGCCACCTTGAAGTCTTTATATTGCACATAAAATTGAAGCTGGAATCGCAGTAATTCCCATGAAAGGGTTCTGTTTTCTCATGGTCTTTATGCATGTGTGTTTTTAGCACAGTCCTTTCAAATGAGTGTGTGTAAGCACAGCAGAGTTCATAATCACGGATGTGCAGGTGGCGCACACTTTTTATGTGTTCTTTCACAGACACTCCCATTCTGATCAACAGTGTTTCCATGTGGGTATCTCTATTAGTATTTTTGTATCATAAGCTCTTGTTCGGTGTCTTAATCTTTTAATACTCTGTGTGTGTGCACCTTACCTTATTTTTATTGGAAACTCCGAAGCCAGGAGCCAGGAGCTTCTTCCAGGTCTCCCACATGAGAGCAGGGTCCCAAGGCTTTGGGCCGTCCTTGACTGCTTTTCCAGGCCACAAGCAGGGAGCTGGATGGGAAGTGGAGCTGCCGGGATATGAACTGGCCCCCATGTGGGACCTCAGCACGTGCAAGGCAAGGACTTTAGCTACTAGGTTACCGCGCTGGGCCCTCCCAGGTAGCATTTTAACCAAACCCTGTCATCTGATGATATTCTTTCAATAACTATAAATCAATTACTTGTTAGTGTAGATAGGAGCACTGGAGGAAATCAGGCCACCTTTCTGCTCCATCTTCCCAGGGCCATTTTGCAGGGAAAGGGACAGACATGTGCTTGCTTTTCTGTCTTTATGACGCTTCTCATTTAGGATTACAGATTGGGATTCCACCCTTGGACGTCACCTCACTTCAGTTACCTCCTTCAATGCCTCGTCTCCAAATACAGTCACATTGGAGGTTAGATCGTTGCCATCTGAATTGGGGAATGAGAGAAGGGAAGTGACCTAATCCATTGCTTTGGGTAGGGGGAGGGCTGTGTTGCAGCTGACACAGGCAGGAGACAGGAAAAGCCAGGAGGGTTCCCCAGGCATGAGCCTGGGGCACACGGGATGGAGGAAGGCAGGCGCTGAAGTGAGCTCTCAGATGGTGGCATCGGGAGCCCCATTGGTTTTGCTTTGCAGCTTTGCTGTGATAGCTTTAGAGTTGTTTCACTTAATATAAGGCCCTCCAGTTCCATGACAAAATTGCACCCATTTTTAGGTTTGGGTTATTCCATTTTGTTCATGTACCACCCATTCTTTCTCCGTGCATTGGCAAATAAGACATGGAGGTTGTTTCCATATCTTAGCTATGACGGATGGTCGTGTAGTCAGCATGGGAGTGTAGCTGTCTATCCAATGGATTGGTTTCATTTCCTTTGGATATCTACCTAGGAGTGGGAATGCTGGATCTTATGTGAGTTCTTTTTGACTAGCCCTCTTAGTCTCATCTTAATGAATGCATAAGCTTTGAAGAAGTGACTGTGTTATAAGGATAATCGGGCTGTTTCTTGTGTTTGTTTGTTTGATTGTTTTGGTAAGATTCATTTTGACAGACATTCTTTTATTACTCCCGGTTGTTCTTGTGTCTATAATGTGCTTGCCTGGGCAGCCTGATTCTTAAGCCTCCAAATACCACTGGGCTGCTTCCTGCCTTGCAGGCCAAATCAGAGAGCGAAAGCATTTTCTCAGCTCACTGAGCTCTTTCTGCTTTTGTGTGAATAACCTCTAAAGTCCTGTCTTTCTAGGGAGTGATTTCTGACTAACCCAGAGAGAAGAGATTTTTCACTATGACCTGTCTGTTTTTACATCATCCCTGATTATCCTAACTTTTCATGTATAATATCTGTATTTACTTGTTTGTGAGGTGTAGCACCGGAGATTTAAAAAAAAGGGAGGGGGGGTGGAGGTTTACTTTTTAAAAATCTAGCATTCCAACTCAAAGACACTTGGTCTCTTGGGAAGTTACATACTTTGCATCCTGAAATTCCGTATTCCTTGTTTTTCATGGGAGTTTTTAAAAAGGCGCTTTTAAATCTGTATGCATTTAAGTAATGCTGGAAGATAGTAGAGAAGGATAAACAGTCAATGAGAATATTCATAAGGAAGTAAGACTTAGTGAAACAGATCCCACAGGTGTTGGGAACCGTCCTGTTTCTATACTTATGCATTAACATTTTGCTGTATAAATGAGCCCCGAAGCCAAGCCTGCAATCACAGAATTTTGTTCAGAATGGTTTAAATAATATTAGAGAATAAAATAAATGAACAAAGAAAAAAAGGGTTTCTGAGAACAGAACCAGACATAGTTAATAATCTCCCTGGCTAAGCGTTCCTTTTCGGTTAACTGGAAGCAGTGTGACCGATTTCAGTAGTCACTGGGTTCTTACACAATTGATGTAAGTAACCACTTAAAGATGTGGATGACTGAACCACAACCAAATACTTGGAAGTAATGTGGAAACGTTTCGTTTTCAGAGAAGAAAGCTTAGAATGCATAAGCAGGTTTTTTTTTTCCAGCACTGGAAAATTTGTGTCTGTAATTTGCTTCTTTAATGACAATAAAAATATTATTACAAGGTTTGTCAGAGCTAGATTGAAGTATGGAATTGCTCTTTCAATCTGTCTTCTCTCTACCACCACCTAGTGGAATAAATGCAGATTTACCTATCAGAAAATTCCAGAAGGGGATGAATAAAATGAAATTTATCTCTGGGAAAAATTTCCATGATGATGAGGTATTATCACTAACTATAGTATAATGGAGGTTGCATAGGGTATATGAATTCCACGAGGTGAAAGTCATGGTGAGTTTCATTTGATAGTTTATAAAATGATATTGGCTTATGTGTAGCTACTTTATTCAGAAACTTTTTTTTTAAAGATTTATTTTATTTTTATTGGAAAGGCGGATATACAGAGAAGAGAGACAGAGAGGAAGATCTTCCGTCCAATGATTCACTCCCCAAGTGAGCACAATAGCCGATGCTATGCAATCTGAAGCCAGGAGCCTCTTCCGGGTCTCCCACGCGGGTGCAGGGTCCCAAAGCTTTGGGCTGTCCTCGACTGCTTTCCTGGGCCACAGGCAGGGAGCTGGAAGGGAAGCGGGGCTGCCGGAATAGAACCGGCGCCCATATGGGATCCCGGGCGTGCAAGGCGAGGACCTTAACCACTGCACCATCGCGCCGGGCCCTATTCAGAAACTTTGACATGAAATAAACTACTGAAAATGGCCAACACATCTTACCTCTAAATTGTAATGAAAAACCTGTTGTTGTTTTTTGTTTGTTTGTTTGTTTTGTTTTGTTTTTACACATTTATTTGAAAGGCAGAGTTAGAGAGAGGCAGAGTAAGAGATCTTTTACCCTTTGACCTGTTCCCCAGACTGGGACACAGTCAGGCCTGGGTCAGCCTGGAGTCAGCAGGCCTGAGCTTCATGCAGGTCTCCCACGTGGGTGCAGGGACCCAGATCCTTGTGCTTTCCGCTGCTTTCCCGGGTACATTAGCAGGGAGCCGAATTGCAAGTGGAGCAGCTGAGGCTTCAATTGCTACCCTTTGGGGGTGCTGGTGTTGCAGCAGTACACCGCAGCAGAGCTCCTGAAAAACCTCTTTTAGCTCTTCTTTATATGATTTTTTTTTTTATTGTTGCTTACATTGTATTATGTAGTACAGTTTTATAGGCGCTGGGGATTACCCCCACCCCTCCCATACCCCTCCCCCCATGGTGGATTCCTCCACCTTGTTGCATAATCATAGTTCAAGTTCAGTTGAGATTCATTGCTTGCAAACACATGCTTAGCATAAAGTTCAGCGTCTTATTGTCCAGATAAGTTCAGTGGCCTCTTGGGGAGACCTTCTATGGTCTGAAGATAGGTCTAACAGAGTAAAGATCCGGTCAGTTAAAAGCCCCAACAAGGCCTCAGTATCAATATACAACATTATGGTATTAATTGACATAGTATTGGGTAAACAATATGTTAAAAATAATGCAAGTTCCATTCTTCGAAACATCTGGGTTGAGACAGTATCAATGACAGGTTCAAAAAATAACAAACAACCATACAAAAATTACAGGTTAAATCAAGGCAAACATGTGGTATCTAATCTTTTGGGATTCGCTCATTTCCCTTAGCATTATAGTTTCCAGTTGTGCCCATTTAGCCACAAAGAACTGCATTTTGTTTTTTTTAATAGCTGAGTAGTATTCCATGGAGTAGATGAACCAAAGCTTTCTTATCCAATCTTCTGCTGATGGGCATTTCGGTTGATTTTTTTTTTTTAATGTCAAACAATATACTTCAAAACTCCGATGCAACGAGGGGGTCATTGTACTTTTGTTGTCGGTAGCTAGACCAAAGTGCAGCGCTGAGACAGTGCAGCGCTGTCAGGCCCAGCATGGGAACGCTGGGGAATGAGGTGATGGAGTATGACTGCCGAGGGATTGCCTCCCACACAGTGACATCCAAAGAGGCACCTGAAGCAGCGTCCCATCCTTGACTGGTAGGGGTAGTCCTGCCTTTATCTTCAGTCCTCATTGAAGAACAAACACAATGAACCAAGAAATGAAAGCGTTTGTTGCTTGTCGGCTGGTCATCACTGCATCTGGGCAGCAGGGCGCAGACGGCTGCACCTGCCTGCATATGCACACGTTTTGTGCTCACAATATTTTACCTGCCTGATTCTCGGGCCTGGGTGTTATGTTCAGTGGATAGAGGACTGAGAGACGCTGAGTGGGAGGAAGAGCTGAAATGGAAATTCAGACAAAAAAAAAATAGTGTGGAGTTCATTTCCAATGAGTTTCAACAAGTATGACCAAGGCACAGGGTCCCCTGAAATGGGGGGTGGGGTGGGTGCTTCTCTTCTTTTACTCTCATTCTTACCATGACAGATTGAAACCCCGATCCCGGCAGACAAGGTCTGCAGCCCGGAACTCTTCATTGAATCGGCCTGGTTTACCAGCTTTTGTTGTAGAGAGTTTTCTATGATTTTTGCATTGTTTGTATTGCAGTGGGAAAGACCATCGTTAGTGTTGGTTGTCAGTGCCATGAATTCCTGAATTGTTTGTCCTGAATTGTTTTGGTATTTTTCCTGTCTAGTGTCTTTTATTTTTGTTGGTTTGTTTCATTTGGGAGACATACAGATCTTCCATCCACTGGTTCTCTTCCCAAGAATGCCTGTATTGGTCTAGGATGGGCAGAGGATGAAGGTGGCAACTGGGAGCTCAATTCAGGCCTGCTATGTGGCTGTCAGAGACCCAACCACTTAAGCTGTCACTGTTAGCAACCGAAGAACTCAGGCACTGTTCTATGCATTGCAGTATCTTACTGCTAGGCTCCTGGCACCTGCCACCTGGCTCCTGTTTTTAACCTTGAGAGAAGCTGCACTCCTGCTGTGTGCCATCTGGTCTGTGGTGAACTATGGTCATGGCACACTCCTCTAGGCCACCACTGCCTGGGGACACTCCTTGAAGTGTCTTATAGAAGCCACCAGGTTGTGAAACAGAATGGCAAAGTAAAGACATACATACTGTATTTTGCCTCCAAAGACTAAGAACTTGTTTCTTCTCTTCCTAATTTCCGATTGATACCACCTTAGAGGTGTTAGAGATAGTTGTTAAAATTAGGTTTTTCCAGGCAGATGTTCACACAACAGTTAAAACTCACTTGGGATACCACATGCCTTATTACAATATCTGTATTCAGGGCCAGCCCAATAGCGTAATGGTTAAAGTCCTTGCCTTGAACGCGCTGGGATCCCATATGGGCGCCGGTTCTAATCCCAGCAGCCCCGCTTCCCATCCAGCTCCCTGCCCGTGGCCTGGGAAAACAGTCAAGTCCTAAAGCCTTGGGACCCTGCACCCACGTGAGAGACCCAGAAGAAGCTCCTGGCTCCTGGCTTCAGATTGGCTCAGCTCCAGCAGCTGTGGCTGCTTAGGGAGTGACCCATCAGACAGAAGATCTTCCTCTCTGTCTCTCCTCCTCTCTGCATATCTGCCTTTCCAATAAAAATAAGTAATGCTTTAAAAAATATGAGAAGCAGTGTCTTATATATATATCTGTATTCAAGACCCAGCTCTGCTCCCAATCCAGTTTCCTGCTGATGTGTGCCCTGGGGATAGCAGGTGGTGGCTCAGGTACCTGAGTCCCTGCCACCTACTGTGGGAGACCTGATGGGAGCTGCAGGCTCCTGTCTTCCACGTGACCCAGACCTACCTCTGGCCGTCACTGGGGAGTAAGCCTGTTACCTATCTCTCTGTCTTTTGTTAATAAATGCCAAATTTTTAAAAAGTGTTCTTCCTCCAAGAACAGCAATAACAACAAAAAAATGGTTAATTAATTTTTTTTTTTGTCTAAATCTGAATACCAAGCAAAGTGAGACTGAAGTATTCCATTTGCAATCTTTTCTCCTGAAAAGAGCATCAGGCTTTGTGTCACTCACCTTCCATGGGACAGCCCCTCTGGCTGCTGGTCGGCTGTGAGCTGTACAGACTGGTGTGTGCAGTGGAAATGACAGCATGTGTGCTCTTGCTCTTATTGCAGTCTTCTCTTGGAGTCAAGAAGCCCACGAAAGCCCTGCTCTTCGTCATCCTGAGTCCTGTGGGACCTTATTTTTCAAGCGGTACCTTTAATCCCGTGTCCCTGTGGGCCAACCCGAAATATGTCCGAGCCTGGGAAGGGGGAACCGGAGACTACAAGATGGGAGGGTAAGTAAGTCATCATCTCTGTCTTTCTGACCACGTGGTTACTGCCCTTGAGCTTGAATGTGCGGAGAGAATGATGGTCATCAAGCTTGAATGCTTGCCCTTGTTTCCTGCCTGGTTTTTGGTGTTTGAAGCGTGAAGCATGCTGGTTGTCTTAAGCGTAACCAGGGGCCCTTCATGACGGTGAGACCTTGGCTGTGATCCACAGATAAGAACTGAAACAAGCAAAGCGGCGATCCCATCAGTGCTTGGACCAAGTTCTCCTGGACCCCAGGCCTCCTGCAGGCTGCTGTTGGGCATCAAGGAGCATCTGGTCCTGGGGTTGAGGCCATCAGCTGGCACCCCAGCATCTTCAACGGGGAATATGTCTGCTGCACTGATGGGTCGTCTCTGTTGCCCTGGATCACGACCACATGTGCTGCCAGCTGGCTGAGGGACAGCCCTGTTTGGCTGTGTTCACCCAATCTCATCAGCCATATGTAGCTGGCAGGAAATAAAAGAGCATTTGAAAAGTGTTAGACAGTTTCAGGGATGGACTTGGCCATGAGCTGGGCATTCCCCTGTGGGTGAACAACAGTAAGCAGGATTGATCGATGTGGGCTCTGCTTTTGTCTGTCTCACTGGTGGTGTGCCCTGGGTATCCGGGGCAGTGACAGTTCTGGGAGGTGACTTAGGCACCGTCTCCTGGGCCCTGGTATAGAATCCAGGTTTAGGAAAGTGAGAGTAAATTTCTGTCACAGGTCACAGCACTCCTCATCTGCCCTCGGTGAGCCAGCGGGAGAACATCGCTCCCTGGGTTCCTTGCTTCCACCTGTTCAGGCTTCTGCTTTGTTGCACGCCGTGTAAGCAATGTTAGGACTTGTTAGGATGCACTTTACAACAAATCAACCGTCTCGAAATGTAGCGAGGATAAAAGTTGGCTTCTTACGAATCTTGTTTCCTGGTTAGCCCTGTCTGTTCAGGAAAAAGATAACTAAAGAACACAGAAAGTGCAGGAAAAAAAATCTTAAAGATTTATTTATTTTTATTGGAAAGGCAGATATGCAGAGAGGAGGAGAGACAGAGAGGAAGATCTTCTGTCTGATGGGTCACTCCCTAAGCAGCCACAGCTGCTGGAGCTGAGCCAATCTGAAGCCAGGAGCCAGGAGCTCTTCTGGGTTTCCCATGCAGGTGCAGGGTCCCAAGGCTTTGGGCCGTCCTCCACTGCTTTCCCAGGCCACAAGCAGGGAGCTGGAAGGGAAGTGGAGCTGCTGAGATTAGAACCGGCACCCATATGGGATCCCGGGGCGTTCAAGGCCAGGACTTCAGCCGCTAGGCTATTGCGCTGGACCCTCTTCTGCTCTGGAGGGTGCTCGCGGCCCCTGGCTTCAGATTAGCTCTGCTCCACTCATTGCAGTCATTTGGGGTATGAACCAGCGGATGAAAGATGTTTATCTCTCTCTCTTTCTCTTTTATCTTGTTCCCTCTGCAGCTGTGCTTTTCAAATTACAAATCTAATAGGAAATTCTAATAGCAGACACTGTCAGAATATTACCTGTCCAAGTTCATAGACCGTGCGATGCCAGGAATGAACCCTGATGTGGCCTTGTGATGGTCATGGTGCGTGACACAGATAGCATCACCAGCGTTCTACAGTGGTACAGGACATTGGTGATGGGGAAGTGGGGCAAGGAGTGTTTGAGACATTTCTGCAACTTTGTCAGTTGTCTGTGGCACCTAAGCTCCTCTAAGAAAATCAGTCATTAAAAGCAGACAGACACAAAATAAAACCTGATGGCCTTGGGCGTGCTGCCTGCCTGCTCTCAGCGTCTTGATCTATAAAGTCTGAGTAGTGATAACACCTGCCTGGATGGTGATTAAAAAATGCCTGTGACAGTGTTCAGCATGTGGAATGTTCTCAACAAATGAGCGATCTGGCCCTGTGAGAGTATTGGCCAAGGAGCCCAAAGTTTCTCAAAGCCACGTGTTTACTGTCTGTGATTTTTGTGCTGTGAAGTCCCATATTCCATCAAGTCCTCGAAAGTATATTATACAAAGAGGTTTTCTTTTCTTTTAAGATTTTTTTCTTTAATTAGCAAGCAGATTTACAGAAAAAGAGAGATAAAGATCTTTCAGCTGCTGGTTCACTCCCAAAATGGCCACAACAGCGTGAGCTGAGCCCACCTGAAGCCAGGATCCAGGAGCTTTCTCTGGTCCTCCCACGTGGATGCAGAGTCCCTAGGACTTGGGTCACTGTCCACTGCTTTCTTAGGCTACAACATGGGAGTGGAGCAGCCAGGACAGGGACTGGCTCCTTGGCACCGGTGCTTCAAGGTGCAGGATTGCCCTGTTGTGCCGTAGCATTGACGCCAAACGACTCAAGAAAATGATGTGGCTAACTACTCAGTTTCCTCCTGGGCGGGCAGTCACTCCTCCACAGCCCATGGTTAGTGAGGCTTTCTCCCTCTTGTAAAATACATTGACTTTTATTTAGAAAGCAGCCAGTGAAACAGAGACAGGTGTCACATTAATTGCTTCGCGTCCCAGATACCTGCAAGGCTGGACCAGGCCAAAGCCTGGAACTTAATCAAGCCTTACAGGTGCGTGGCAGGGACCCACTCTGGGAGGTGTGCATACCCTGCTGCTTTCCAGGGTGCGTCAGGAGCGGAGCTGGGACTCAGGATGAGTGTTGTCCTGGACAGTTTGTTTAAGGGCTACGTCAGTGCCTGCACTTAGCTTTCTTAGCTCATCACTTGGACAACCAGTTGCCTTTCTCCGAGCGGAGTGTACTATCTTGTAGCAATGCATTTCACATCTGTGTTCTCCAAGGTATTTATTTTCAATTATTGGAAATTTTCTCTGTAGGCAATCTTCCCCCCTTTTTCAGTTATTTTCTTTCTCTAAGAACATCAGATATTGTTTAGAATATTGACGGCACGTGGAGGGAAATCAAATGTATTACTTATGTGGCAATTACTTTGTGGACATTAACAATACAGTGTGCAGCTGAGAGAATTTTGAGGAAAAAACAGTCTGTAGAGTATATTGCTGCACAAATCAATCATGGAAATGTTAAACAACAGCACATTACACACTTTGCTTTCAATGTGATGGGCCAGCAGAGGTCTTACTTCCTCTTTCCCTGTGCATATGGTCATGATGCTGAGGAGCCATGGATTCAGTTCAACGTCATTTTCAGTAGTGTGCATGTGATTGTTTCTAGAAAGTTCTTTGTAAGGCTAGATGTTTGTACTGGAAAAATACTCAATGTGTTTTTTTTTTAACAGTAAGGAGCAATGAATATAAGAAGAAAAATTTTTTTAGATATGGTGAAATTATACATTTTTGCCTATCAGTGAAAGAAAATCTAATGGGGAGGTTTTTTTTTTTAACTGTATTTCAGATGTAGCGGGTTAGCACAACCTTTTTTTTTTCATTTATTGCATTATTTATTTTTCTAAACAAAAACAAAAGTTTGAACTCACTTTCTTTGATTTATATGTATAGGTGCTCCTTGATTTGATGATTAGCTTATATCCTGATAAATTCACCACAGCTCAGAAAATGTAGTGACTACACAGCCTAGCTGTGAAGTGTCATCTCTTAGCAACACCGGGCACTGCAGAGGATTTCTCAGAGTTATGGGGCTGATGGGGCTGCGATTCCCTGCCCCTGTGCAGAGAGCAAACACTACACACTGCTAGCCTGGGACGCGATCTACAGTCAAAATTCAAAGCATCACTTACATTTCAGGATCCCACCTTTGCATCATGGTATAGAGAAAAGAATGTCCTTGGTCAAACCCTCATATGTGGAAGAGCATGTGTGTTAGAAGCACAAGGTGAGCTCAGACCTGCTGCCCTCAAACCTGTGCTCTAATATATATATATATATATATATTTTTTTTTTTTTTAATAATTATTTATTTGAAAGTGGGAGTTGCACAGAGAGGCTGAGATTTCTTCTCCTGGCTCGCTCCCCCCATGGCTGCAGGAGCTGGGGCTGAGCCCAGCGAAGCTAGGCTCTGGGAACTCCGTCCTGCTATCCCTTGTGGGTGACAAGGTTGAGCACGCACACCATCTTCCACTGTCTTCCCAGGCACAGCAGGTGGCTGGGTCAAAAATGGAGCTGCCTTTATTCCAACTGGTGCTTATTTGGGATGCTGGCACTGTAGATGGCAGGCTAGCCTTCAGTGCCACAACAACCCCCCCTCCCTGGTCATTTTGTGATCATCAGCTTATTTTATTGTGTGAAAGACACAGAATGCAAGAGAGGGAGAAAAGAGAGCTGGTTCACTGTGCACATGGCTGTAGTGGCCCACAGCAGAGCAGACCAAAGCCAGGAGCCAGGAACTTCTTTTGGGTCTTCCACAAGGGTGGCAGAGGTACAAGAACTTGGACCATCTGAGCTGCTCCTTCCAGGCCATTAGCAGGGAGCTGGATTGGGAGCGGAGCATCTGGGCTCAAACTGGTGCCATAAGGAATGCTGGCATCTCCACAGGTGGCTTTATCCACTATGCCTCAACACCAGCCCCTGTTGTAAAATTCTTCAGTATATATACACATGTCCCTTGTATCAAACTTGTCTCTTCAAATAGATCTTTTTAAAAAGTCACCTTAGAATATATCTTATTTTTATTTGGAAGGAAGAATTACAGAGAAACACACATAGAAAGATCTATCTGCTAGTTCACCCCCCAAATGGCCGCCAACAACTGGAGGTGAGCCGATGAGAAGCTGGTTTGAGTCCCAGCTGCTCCATTTTGAATCTAGCTTCAATTTGCTAGATTTATTTGCCTGGAAAGGATGTGGAAGAGGCTCCCTGCATCCATGTGATAAACCTGGATTCCCGGCTTCAGCTGGCCTACAGCTGTTCAGCCATCCTGTGAGTGAGTCAGCAAGGTGGAAGGCTTCTAATGCTGTCTTTCAAAGAAGTGATATATTTTTTAAAGGTATAAGCGGGTATTTTGTTGAAGATTACATGAATGCTTTGTTGTAGTTTGAGCTGGTGAGTTTGCATGCGTTTGGAGGCTTTCTAGTCCAAAGGTGTGTGTGTTACCCAGCCACAGTTGCCTTGTGGTAGTTCCTCTCCAATATACTTGCTAATGTTCTTTGTTAAGCAAGGAAAAGTGATTTATATAACCAGAGGCTTAGGGAAGAAAGCAGACATCATATTTCTTTAATGACAATGTTCTCTTTAAGACATTCTTCCATATTTTGTAATATGTTACATAATTTTCCCATTGAAGTTTAAATAAAAGGTAAAAAATTACTACATTGTCATTTCAGGAAGATGTTCTATGTTCATTTGATTTTAAATCATGATGAATGGTATAAGTTTAAATTAGCTTTTGAAATAATTTTTTTAAGATTTATTTATTTTTTTTTGAACAAGTCAGATTTATATAGAGGAAGAGAGACAGAGAGGAAGATCTTCCGTCCGATGATTCACTCCCCAAGTGAGCGCAACGGCCGATGCTGTGCCCATCCGGAGCCAGGAACTCTTCCTAACTCTTCTGTTAGGATGCAGGGTCCCAAAGCTTTGGGCCGTCTTTGACTGCCTTCCCAGGCCACAAGCAGGGAGCTGGATGGGAAGTGGAGCTGCTGGGATTAGAACCGGTGCCCACATGGGATCCTGGTGCATTCAAGGCGAGGACTTTAGCCACTAGGCCACCGCACCAGACCCCTGAAAGAACTTTTGATTGAAGGGTTATTTGCTTTTTTTTTTTTTTTCCATTTGTCCCTCTTTTGGGTAGAATTTAGACTTCACCATTACCATGTTTGTTGAGCAAGTCTCTAAGAACATTCCTATTAAAATAGCTGCAATTAAATCATCCACATTCTTACACATTTTGCTTTTAACTTTATACAGTTGACTAAAGCGCATATGTGAAGAGCATAATAGTTGATCATGTCCATCTGTGGAAGACTTGAGGATATTACAGAATGAAAGATGAGATTTTGAATGGTATCAGCACATTCACAACCATTGCGTTCTTCCTCACAGGAATTACGGCGCGTCGCTTTACGCGCAGTGTGAGGCCATGGAGCATGGGTGTCAGCAGGTGCTGTGGCTCTACGGCTCAGATAACCAGATAACAGAAGTAGGCACCATGAATCTCTTCCTTTATTGGATCAATGAAGATGGAGGTAATTTCAGCTCTGCTTTTTTTTTTCAGTTATTTTCTATAGAACTGGAAAAAGATGAAGAGCCAGAAACAACTTCTAAGGCAACCCCGTGCTTTCAGCATGTACTTAGGCAAAGTTTCAGATTAAAGAAGTTAGCAAAATTGTTTTTGTTTCCTGAAAATAGATGAAGTCTATTCTTGTGTATCAGATTGAGAGATTTAAGTCTCCTTGCTGTGAAAAGTTCCTGCCTTGCCCCTTTGCCATCCTGTGACATCTTTCTGGTCTGAACACCTGGCGTTTGGAGACAGGTCTCGAATCAGCTCAGGTCATTGGCCGTGGACTGTATGGGAAATGCAGTCGGAGGAACAGTCTGCTGATTCTGGGATGGAATTTAGTGTTCTCTTTTGTTCTCCTGTCAACTGTTGATCTCTCTTTACATATTTTGATCATCTGTCAGAAGCCCTCCAAATCTGTTTTGGAGCTCTGTTTGATTAAAATACATTATTTTACAAGTTACTGTGTCTTGAGATTGTACCCAGATCCTGGTTCCTTGAAGAGGACTGCTGTGGATCTGCTACAGGAAGTAGCTTGATGTTGATGGTCTTTGAGGCTATTCCTTTTGTATTGGTTGACCAAGCAGCAGCGGTCATGAGCACTCACCATAGCAGTCCTCTCACTGAAGTGTTGACGACGAATGCGGTGCTAAGTTAAAGGGCCAACAGTGGGGAAATAAACTGACATGCACTTATTTCCATTAGAATTTTGACAAATGTAAAACAGTAAGAAACATATCTGCAGGCTCCTATTTTCTCTCTTTCTTCATGATATTATGGTGAGTACAGAGAAGGGAATAGTAATGTTTCTAAATATGTATGAGGTCTCGGTATTGGCTTCCATGAAAATTAACTTTTAGTTTCAAGGCAGCTACAGCAGGCTCTGTTGTGCTTATGTTCTTTGGCTAGGAAAAGAGGAAAATGGTGATTCAGATGAGGTTGAATTCCGAGCTGGATACTCACTGGAGTGTTAGGAGCAGAGATGAACCAGATGAATGTTATGTTCCAGCCAGAGGTAGAATAAACAGCAGGTGTGGGGAGGACTGCCTGTACCCAGGTTGGCTGCTGGTAGTCATTGGCTTAGGAAATGCCAGGTACAATTCATTCTCCCACTCCTGCTCTTTGTAGTTGGCACTGCTGAAAGACAAAATTTATGTGGCATGTTTGCAGTTTCTAAATTTGATGTATTATATACATCAAAAGCTTCGTTTGCCAATTGGCAGCTGGGGTTGAACTCTGCACTTGGAAGGTCATGCTGGATTCAGTTGTTCTTCTCCCTTGCCTATTTCTACCTATTCGCCAACTTGTGTCCCAAACCCATAGAATCCCGCAAGAAAACCAGCGATACATCCTTATGCACAGATGGAGGTGTTGGGAATTCACCCCCGTCTGAATCAGGGGCTGCATGGTTTCACCAGAGAAACCAGAAAGTGTCCTGCTGAGAAACTGGCCCTTCTGCAAACAAAAAAATTTTGGCTTGCTTCCTCTGTAGCTTTTAAAGGTCACAATGGAAATTGAGTGAATTTGTCTTTTGCCTGTTGTAAAATGTACAAGACCTGAAGAGTGATTATTCAGATTTATGCCTGAGATAACATGGGTTTTATGTTTGACTGGAGGAGCAAGGAGACACAGATGTGTCCTTTGGGTCATTCCCTGGTTGCACACCATAGCCAACAGCTCAAGTTCAGTCTCCCACACATACTTGACCCATCATTGATGCCTCCCAGGTATGCATTGGCAGAAAGCTGGAATCCAGAACCACGCCAGGCCTCCAAGCAAGGTACTTCAACAGGAGATGTGGATGTCCAAGGGGTATCTTATTTTTTTTAAGCCAAAACATATTATATAGCCCTTTTTTACATTAAAAAGGAATTATTTTTACTCAAATGGTAGGTTTCCAGAGAGCGAGAGCTTCCATCTGCTGGTTCACTCCCCAGATAGTCACAACAGCTAGAGCTGGGGCCACTGGAGCCCTCTGGGTCTCCACATGGGTGGAGGGACCCAAGGACTTGAGCCATTGTCCACCACTTTCCCAGGCACATCAACAGGAAACTGGATTGGAAGTGTAACAGTTGGCATCCATATGGGATTCTGGCAGTGCTGGAAGAGGCTTGACATACTGTGCCATGGTGCTGGTGTCCCACAAGTGATGACTTAACCAGTGTATGTGTCTTCCCTGCCTCTGGCTTTGCTATGACTTTTTTGTATGTGAGAGTGTTTACCTAATACAATAAGTGCAGACCAAATAAAATCTGAACTAAAGAGAATGAAAACAAAATGTGTTGGAACCGTATTACAAAAAGAGCATGTGGACTGTCAGAATTAACTTCCTACCCCACCGGCACTCCCCCACAAAAAGAGAGAAAAGCATATTGGAAGTCTGTATCATATGGCTTTAGGATAAAATGAGAGTGAATTGAAAATGAGCAAAATTAATTTCCCAAACCTATCACCAGGAGGTATAAGTAAGGTTCCTTCCCTAACATCTCATCCTCTTTCCACAAGAACCCGCACTGATGGCTCTCCTGGGACAGCATGTCTGTGTGAGTGCCAACCGCACTGCTATGGATGGCAACTGTTTGACTTTTGGTCTGTAATTTATGAAGATTTGAATTCTAGTATGGCAGCCATGATGGTAAGATCACACCAAAATTAGGTAGTGTTAGGGCAGGTGTTTGGCCTAAACCTGCATCCCTATCAAAGTGACTGAGTTCAAGTCTAGCTCTTTTTCCAAGCTCAGCTTCCTGCTAATGCATACCCCTGGAGGCAGCAGAGAATGGATTAAGAATGTGGATTTGTGCCACTCATGTGGGATACTTGACTCGAGTTCCTGGCTTTGGCCTGGTCCGGCCCAGGCTGCTGTAGACGTTTAGGGACATGAACAAGCAGATTGGGGCTTACTCTGTCTCTTGAATGGTTTGGGAGCATGACTGTGGCAGTGAGTGTTGCTGTTGTTCACCCTTCTCTGGCAACCCACGTATGAATAGTGACTTCACTTGGAGCACGTCCACGTGGGTTGCTCTGTCACACCCTCCAGGCCTTTGAGTGCAGATCCCATTGTCAGTACGGTTGTCTTCGAGCCCTGAATCAGAATTATAAGCTCCCTCTGCCATTGCAGCTCTTTTGGGTCTTGTTTGTTGTTTGTTTTTGCTTTTGTTTTGCCCTGTAACATGCTAATTAGCACAATAATTGGTGCCTCTCCTTAGCAGAAAGTAAGTAGGAAGTTATTTGTGACTTCAAAATAATCTGAAAAAAAAAAAAAAACCAACTATACATACTGGGAGGATGGCTATGCATATCTTGTATCAGAGTCCCAGTTTGACTCTTACCTGCTCTGCTTCCAATCCAGCTCTCTGCTAATGTCTGGAGGCAGCAGATCGTGGTCCAAGTACTTGAGTCTCTGCTTCCTGCATGGGAGACCTGGGTGGAGTTGCTGCTTCCTGGCTTAGACCTGACCTGTGTCCGGGTGTTGGAATCTTGTGGGGAGTCAACCAATCAGTAGCTGCAACGTCTTTCTCTCTCCTCCTTTCTCCCTCTCTCTTTCTCTTTCCTTTCCTCCCTCTCTCTGTCTCCCCCTCTCTCTCTCTCCCCTTCTCCCCATCCTCCCATCTTTCTTGCTCTGTGTGTGTGTGTCACTGCTTTTCAGATAAATAAATGAGTAAATCTTGACAGGCAACTGGAGGGGAACCTATACCTGGATTCTAAAAATTTTTCATGTGCCAAGATACACTTACCCTTTCATCCAGCTTTTCCATGTATTTAGAGAGGCCCCTCCTTTGTCCTCCGTGCTCCCTGCCATGTCCATAGAGTTTAGAACAGTATTAACAGCCCCCGGTGTGCGTCTGCTGAATAAATAAGGCATTGTGCTGTTGGTGTTCCAGGAGCTCAATGTAATCCTACAGTCCTGGTTTCCATTAGTGTGTGAGTCTGGGAGGACACAGTGGATCCTGCTGTGGTTGCCTCTGAATTTCTCCTCCAAACGATTCTTCTGTCAAAAACCGGCCGCTTTTGTAGGTTCTGTTTTCCTCATGTTGGGCAATCTGGAGTGAGTTCTGGCTTTCGCAAGCATGTTTGTGGTTGCAGAGGAAAATGAATACTTCTCACCCAGCCCTTGTCATGTCATCATCTCTGTCTGGCAAGCCGAGAAGCAGATGTTCTGTTCCTTGACCCCAGGCTAGTGGTTATAGTTCTGGGTGTTAAACATGTTTCACACAACAGCCTTTGCGCATGCAGGGGCTGCTGTTTTCTGTTAACTTCATCTGGTTTGTGGAACTCGGCAAGCTTCAGGCAAGGGCAGCTTTAGGGGGCACTCGGAGATGTGTGCGTGTGTCTGAGTGCATGCACACACACACAAAGACCCATGCACTGAGGCAGCTGTCACAAAGCGTGCATTTATTTTGAAATCACCAACAAAGACTTCTAAACAGGACACAAAGTAGCCCTAAGAACATTGCCAAGAACAAGTTTTCTTCTTCCCAGAAAGCAGCTTTCAGCACCTGATTTTCAGAAACAGAAAAGTCTTACAAGCTACTGCTGTGTCCTTGCAAAGAGGACTTCCTTGTGCATTTTGTTTGTTTAATGCAGAAGCCAAGCGTGATGCTGAGCTTGGGGGCTACAGGGCTGAACATGGAGCTTCGGTCTTCCAGACAGAGCTCACTTGTTGGACAAGGCTGATGTAACCACAGCAGAGCAGACAGCCCTGGAATCACTGTGCCCTGTGGGAACAGGTTGCGGCTTCAGTGTCAGGACAGAAGAGCTTGGGTCTTAGCTGGCCTCCGGTGACACCTCCGTTACTTCTGTGATATACAAATAAAAGTTCTGATTTTTTTTTTTTTAACCTACATGACGCAACTTTGAGATACCAGTGTGCTTTTCCTTTAGCCTTTAGCTGGTGAACCCTCCCAAATATGCTTCATGCATTTCCTTTGCCAATGTTTTGTGGGCCATGCATTGTCTGTTACAAGGCTCAATATCTTTGAAAGATGATGACTTCAGTTTTGAGTTTCTCGCTAGATTAAGGTTCTTCGGTGCTGCAGGTGAGTAAGAAAAAAAACTTGTAGGAGCCCGTGACAACTTTTTTTTTTTTTTTTTTTTTTTTTTGCAGTAGACCAGGCATGCTTAGCACCTCTAGACATAGGATCATGCCAGCCCTCATAATGGTAAGGGGCTTTTGAGGCCAGAAGCTCGTGGTAAACCAGTAGCTCAGGCTCAGAGGGAGTTTGGAGTATGCTTTGTTTTTTTCTAGCCTACCTGCTTGAGCTCCTCTGAGGACCCTGCCCTCCGAATCTCAAAGGGTAGAATCAGAATCGGCATTGTGAATGCTGATACTCCAGTAGGTTGGAGAACCACTAACCCTAGCAGACTCAGCAGAATTCTAGGTGCTTTCTAAGGACCAGGAACCTCTTTACATCATTCTAAGTACTAACTGACATTAATATATGAACATAACCATTGCTATCAGAATATCCCTCTTAAGAATATTCTTTGTGAGGCTATTAGTTTATCTTCTTCTTTTTCTTGAATTAGGATAAACAAGATGATCAAATGAATACTTTTTTCTTTTTTCCACCTTGAAAATCAGGTTTTTTGACAAGAGCAAATCGGTTTTCTAGAATTGGGAGATTTAGCCATGTGCAACAATAATACTATGATTTCTTTGTACTTATTAGCAGTTTAATGGTTATTGAGAGAACCCCTGCCTAACTCATTTACAATTTGCAATTTTCCCAATTTCTAATTGACAGAAGAAGAACTGGCAACTCCTCCGCTAGATGGCATCATTCTCCCGGGAGTGACGAGGCAGTGCATTCTGGACTTGGCACACAAGTGGGTGGGTGCCTTTGACATGAGTCACTTTGGTTAACCTCAAAGAGAAAGCAATCCAGATGAGTCCTGTCTGCTGGTGAAACTGTAGCCTGAGATTCCAACCCGTGTTATCATAGCTCAAGGGAGACTATCAGATCATCTTGCTGGTAGGAAAGGCAGAGCGGAACCAGTTGAACAGGATGTCCTAGTGCTACTGTTCTCAGTTCCTACAGCATGCGTCTCCTACCAACATTCCTGGGTTCCACCTGGTGTGTTCCAAACCAGCCAGCCCTTAATGCTCCGAGAGTCAGTGTCTTGCACATGACCATGATCTGGAGGGCTTCCTTCCCACTTTGGTTCCAGTGGAACCACACTTCCTGGTAGAAATGGAACCGATTTACATCAGTGTTTAACTAATATCACATTCGTTTGACTGCCCTCCTCTCTGTATTACATCTTCTAGTCCTGGTAAATTTCTATATGTATTAAAGTTTAAATTCTAGCAATTGTTCTGCTAAATTTGTACGTGTATTTAAGTCAAAATTCTAGCAAGTGTGATGTGTTCAGTAGACTGGCAAGACCTTCGATGTAGGCAACAATGGCTGTTTGGTGTAGAAAAGGACGTAACATATTCAAGGAGAATAGTGACTGATTTGCTTGTGGGGCTCAGATTCCTGGATTGGAACTTTTCACCCTTGGGTTACAAATGCCTTCAAAGACCACAAAAAGACTTTGTGTGTAATGTACCAAGTGGTACTAATAGGACAGATGTTAGCAGGAGAGTACTCGCATGGCTTCTTTAGGAAAAGTTTAAAAAATGGAGGGAATGTGTATAACTAATTCTACAATATCCTAAAGTAGACAAAACTCAACTGCCACATGCTGGCTGGCACATTGGTCATGACATTTACCAACTGTTGGTATAGTTTTAAACAGCTTGGCCTGTCCTAAATATGTTTGCAGTTAAAAAGATATTTTTGAAGCTTGGTAATTTTTGTTTTATTAAAGAAAATATCAACCAAATACAGAAGGCTTGATGACAAGCTGTAAGTGGAAATGCTTTCCCACAGTAATGATTTGCTAGCATAGAAAACAGTTTATTATGGAGGAAGTTTTTTTTTTTTTTCCTGACTCCTTAGCTGTAACTTATTTTAAAAGCCATTTTAAACAGTGAGACTTAATATGCCAAGAGGCATGTGGGGGGTTACCTCCACTTGCCAAACGGAAAATTGTCCAAAGATAAGTAGGGGTGAGCAGGAGAAAAACAATTCAGTTTATTCCCAAGGAACTTTGTTTTTTTCTTTTTCTAGAACATAAAACTCAACTTGTTTTCAATTAACTTGGTTGATTTTCTGGACCTTATTTATTTATTTATTCATTTACCTTTGAACAATGTAATTGTAATTGGACACTAAAATAGGTTGGAACTTGCAAGGAGCTATCTTTTGATTGCAGACATATTTTCCTATCCTTCCAAATCCACTTAAAGCATAATGCATTCTTTTAATGATTTGCATCTTGCCAAGAGCTTTGATGTCCATTTTATCTATTGTGGATTTGCAGGTTTTCAAAAAAAAAATACTCTCACTCTTTCTTAATACCAACCATTTTTTTTTAATTGTTCTTGGTTCAAATAGGTTGTTGACTAATTGAAAGGAATGAGAATTAAGCAGATTAAAGAATGAGTATTGGGGTTGGAGCTGTGGTTTAATAAATAAAACCACTGCTTGTGAAGCCTACATTCCTAATGGGTGCTGGTTTGAGTCTTGGCTGCTCTGTGTCTGATCCACCTTCCTGTTAACATGCCCAAGGAAAGCAACAGCAGAAGAAGCCTAAAGGTTTGGGCTTCTGCTACCCACGTGGGAAACCTGGATGAAACTCCTGGCTCCTAGTTTCAACCTGGCCCCCCAGCCTTGGCTTTTGCGGCCATCTGGGAAATGAAGCAGTGGATCGAATATCTCTGTGTGTCTCTTGCCCCTCTTTCTACAATTCTGACTTTAAAATGAATGAATAAGTCTGTGGAAGAAACACATGTCAAATACGTAAAAGCATCACAATTTTCGGTTTTATTTTTCCATCCCTAAGCAAGGTATTCAAATCTTTTAGCAGAGGTCAGAGGTCAGTGAAGTTACCTCATTCCACAGTGAAACTCAACTAGATATGATCCTAACAGGGAAGGAAGAGGAATAATGGTTAGAATCAACATCAGTCAACTTGGAAGAAGAAATAATATGTGCGTGCATTTTCTCAGATCAAGTCCAAATGTACAATTTTTTAAATGAATTTTTCATACATCCAAGCTAATTTTTTGTTGTTTTAACTCTTAAGAAATGCAATAGAAAAAAAGCTCAGGTTTGGAGCCAGTCAGATCAGACCTGGATTCAGATCCTGATGTCTGTGATTTGCTAATTATTTGGTCTCATAAAACCTTCTTGAAGTGTGGTTTCTTGTTCTGACTGATTCTACTTCCCTTTAGAAGTATTTAAATTTGCATGAAAGTAGCAAACAAAATTTGTACGAATAATTATAACATTATATAATATTTCCTTCATAGTAAAATAATGCTTAAGACTTAATTTGCAGTGTGCATTAAGCAGCATCTGTGATCTGTCAGTTTGTGAGAGTTTGTCTATGACAAATCTAAGACAGGCATGCGGTGGCTGTGAAACTGAGTTCAACCAGAATGTAATGCAGAAAAAGCAATGTTGCTTTTCTGTTTTGAACTGTCCCCAACAGGGCGAGTTTAAGGTGTCGGAGCGGTACCTCACCATGGATGACCTGACAGCAGCCCTGGAGGCCAACAGAGTGAAGGAGATGTTTGGCGCTGGGACTGCCTGTGTGGTTTGCCCAGTTTCTGCTATACTGTACCAGGGTGAGGTAAGATGACTATTTCTTCACTTCCTGTAATTTTCAGCACTTGCCTATAATTGGATTAATGTTAAACGTGTGAATGAAATTCTAGTTGAACCCAGGATGCAAAGGTTATTATTATTATTATTTTTGCTTGCCTTTTTTAATGACTTCACCATTACATTAACAGTACCATTTATCCAGATGAACGTGCTAGTCTCTTGCTCTCATCTTTCCAGTGGTTTCTTATGAGTTCAAACCTTGTGGGAAATTTTTATGTTTTGATAAGTGGTTGACTGCCTTGTATTGATTTTGATGTTGAAGCAGCTCCAATAGACTTGCATATTCATCTCCTGCCACTCATTAAGCAAGGCTTCCTTGCAGGGAGTTAGATTTCATTTCTCATTTGCGAAAGTACTTCTTAGCAATTGGTTTGGGATGGCCATTGATTATGGGAAATGAACTTTACTGGTCAATTCCTTTGTTATTTTTACTATTGTTATTAATTTTTTTAAGAAAAAAAGATTATTTCTTTAGCTTTATTTTTGTTTGAAAATCAGATTTACAAGAAGAGGAGAAATAGATTTTTCATCTGCTGGTTCACTCCCCAAATGCCTGCAATGACCAGAGCAGAACTGACCTGAAGCCAGTATCCCAGAACTTTCTCTGGGTTTCCCATAGGGTTCCCGGGGCCCAAGGACTCGAATCCTTCTCTGCTGCTTTCCCTGGTTGTCAGTAGGAGCTGGTTTGGAACCAACGTTCATAAGGGATACCTGTGCTGCAAGCAGAGGCTTAGCTTGATGAGCCACCATGCTGACCGTTATTTAATCCAGGGTAGAGTTACAGAGACCGAGAAGACAGGGAAGAGAGGGAGGGAGAGGGAGGTTGGAGGGATTAACTTCCTTAATGGCCGTAATAGCCAGGGCTTAACCTGGAGTGCCACAATGCCAGTTCCTGCAATTAATAAGCAGATCACTTTACAAACTTTATAGTTAGTCAGCATTGTGCATTTACTAAGCATCTTCCAAAAGGAACTCAAGGTGTGGTTGGGAGAAATGTTCACCTCTTGCATTTTATATTGCATTGTTTTCTTGTTGGGGTTTTTGCCTCCCGTTTGTAACAAAGCTCCAATAGTTAGTAATGAGATCTAATTTCATAACTTTAAAGCATGTGGGCCTTATCTTTGTTGCACAAACTGACTTGAATTTCTCTTATTTAAAATGATTTCTGGGGCCCGGCGCGGTGGCGCAGTGGTTAAGGTCCTCGCCTTGCACGCCCGGGATCCCATATGGGCGCTGGTTCTATCCCAGCAGCCCCGCTTCCCTTCCAGCTCCCTGCCTGTGGCCCGGGAAGGCAGTCAAGGACGGCCCAAAGCTTTGGGACCCTGCACCCACGTGGGAGACCCAGAAGAGGCTCCTGGCTTCGGATCGGCATAGCACCGGCCGTTGCGCTCACTTAGGGAGTGAATCATTGGACGGAAGATCTTCCTCTCTGTCTTTCCTCTCTGTATATCCACCTTTCCAATAAAAAAGTAATAATAAAAATAAATCTTTAAAATGATTTCTGCTGGGTTTTCAGTCCTGCGATGCAGTTGTTTTTCTTCAGCTGATCGAATCGATTTTTTTTTTTTGCTGCTGTGTTTGATGTTGCCTGATCCATTGCTTCGAGTTTATAACTGGCTTTGAGGAATTGCTTCTGACATAATTGCCCATATGACGTGATCAATCATTCCTTGGGAAAGTTACTATTCTGTGTTCTGCCAGTGCTCGCCATGATTAGGATCTCACTGTTTAGTGTCTTTCCCTTGTAGGCGTGTCGGCATCGGGGTGTGACTCCTCTCTGTGAACTAATTCTATCATTAGGTCAGGTTTTTTTGAACACTAATTATTTCACCTAGAAAGAAGTTTATATGATTTAATGTGTTTTTAATGGCTCTATTTTAGGGGAACATTTAGAGCTAAAAGGTCCATCTAATTATCCTGTTATACAAAGAGAGCACAGAGTATCTGCTAAAATCAAACTATCCAAAGCCTCCAAGCCAACAAGGCATGAACAGGCATGGCTTAGATATACATTGGTGCCAGGAAATTTCTTCCAGCCATTAATATAATCACGTTCCCCAAGATTGTGGAGGCTGTGGCCCTGGAGATGTGGTGTGGGCTCCAGATGGGTTTTTAGGAGCCCTTTATGTGAAGGCGTAGGCCCGCTTTAATTGATGTCCCTGAAATAACTTGCTTTGATTTGGGGCAAAATATCATTGAGCTCTCATTCCCTTGCCATGCTGTTAGATATGGAGGATAACCAGATTCTTGGAAGAGGCCTCATTCTTTAAACTCAGCCTCTGTTGCAGATGTCTCAGCTTCTCGATTCCTTGGGTCACCTGGGCTGTTGCATATAAAATAGTTGTCCCTAAATTCTGTGATAGGTAGTAAACATCCTATCAGTGACTTGTGAGTTTTAGTCATATTCAAAATAGAAAGAAACCCTTGGCATAAAGAGCTACCGTGCGTGAGCCGTAGGTTATAGTGTCACTCTTTACTTCAGTGGGATTGCCTTCCTGTAGGAGGATTGCTGCCTGTCTCACCTGCTGTCATTCTACTGGGACATGTGAACGTCTTCAAATGGCCTTGTTTCTCTTGTTTTCATAGACAATGCATATTCCAACTATGGAGAATGGTCCCAAGCTAGCAAGCCGTCTCTTGGGTAAATTGACTGATATCCAGGTAAGGGTGTTTCTTCCTTCCATCCCTTATTTTCTTTCCCTTCTCTCCTCTGTTTTTCTTTCCTCTTCTTTTCTTTCTTAGAGAGATAGACCCATCTAATGGCTCACTTTCCAAATGAGCTCAATAGCCAGTTAGGCTGGTCTAAAGCCAGGAGCCTCTTCCATGTCTGCCATGTAGATACAGAGGCCTAAGGTCTTAGACCACCATCCACTGCTTTCCCAGGCTCATTAGCAGGGAGCTGCATCTCAAATAGAGCAGGAGGATCTCAATCTGATGCTCATATGGGGGACCATTTGTGATGCTGACACTCTCGGTGCTAGCTTTACCCACTACACCACACTACTGGCCCCATAATGTGTTTCTTTTTAAATATCACCTATTCAGCCAGAATTGAGAACCAGCTCATGTTCTGATGGATAGAAGAGATTAAATATTGCAGCTGGAAATCAGTCATTTCACACTATGGGAAGATGTTCCTCATTGTATTGTGGGCACAATCAAAGCAGAAATGGGAAAGAGGATTCATGTTTAAATACCAAATGGCTTTCCATCATAAAAAAATAACTCTAGGAGTCATGGTCAGCTTTGGCGTTCAGATAGCATTGAAGATGCCTGGCTCTTGGCCCTGTTCCTGCCTCAGACTCCAGCTGCAAGCTCCCACAGACCGCATGCAGGGAGGTGAGGGTCACAGCTCAGGAGCTGGCTTCCGGAGCTGAATTTGTGACTCCAGACTTTGGTCAGGCCATCTCCCAGCACTTGGCAGAAATTTGGGAAGAGTGAATCAGTGGAAAGTAGGGTTAGCAACATTGTGTGTGTGTGTTTTATTCTGAATTATAAATGTTGACATTTAGAAATTCCATTACACTGGATAGCATATTTTATCCTCCCCAGAAAACATTAAAAGTTGCAGAAGGTGCAGTTAAAAAATTATATTACCTGTGATTTCAAACCTGAGATTTGGTAATTTCTAATCTTTGATCTTAAACTTCCATATTTTGTTAGCATTTAAATACTTTGAAATACTTTTTTTTTTCTAGCAAAGTGGGATTATGTTATAGTTTTTTCTTTTTTCACTTAATATGCTTTTTTTCTTAAAAGCCTTTGTCAATATTTTTTCTTAAAACCTGTATCTGAAGTTTAATGAAATTCACTAGACTTATGTACAATGTTTTGCTTTTGTTTTATGTTTTTCATGAGTCATGCTGTTGATGGTTCTTGCATTATCATGAACGATGCATTTTCGGTTATTAGGATAAATCTCTGGGGTTATGATTTTTGGATCAACAGTATGTTCATCTATTTTTCTTTTCATAATAATAACTTTATTTTGTTGTTTATTTCTGAGCAGCAGCCTGGAGTACAACCATAGGTGGTTAAATGGACACATCAAATGCAAGACTATTCTGTAACTTGGAAATATTTTACAAATTCTTGAAGGATTTTCTTGAGCACGGATGTAATTGTAATTACATCGCACCATTGTAATTTACTAAGAAGTTTTTAAAAGGAGCTGAGTCTCATATTGAGAAGTAAAATAAAATCAGAGCAGATGATAATCAATCGTAACACTAAGATGTACCTAAAGCTGATTGAGAAAGCAGTGGGCCTCTAACAACAGTAATTGAAGTCTTTCGTAGTAGTAACAGTAGTAATTTTGAAAGGCTTACTCACCTATTTTAATTGTGGTTTTTGAAACTGCGAATTCTCTTCCATTCTTCAACAGAGGTTTTCTGTATGAAATTATTTTTATAATGGTGAATTAAGGACTATCTTAATATTTGAGGAAGTAAAACATTTACTTAAGAGTTGTTTTCTCCCTTCATATAGAGGGGCAATTAAAGTAATTTGAGAGGAAGCTATTAAATATTTCTACAGGGGTGACTTGAGCATTCTCACAGTTTTCAGAGTTATACGTATTCATCTGTTGTACTTAATCATTACTTTTTATGCAAATAAATAGCATAAATAGAAGGAAGAGAATATAATTTGTTAGACTATGAAATACTTTATCCAAAATTGGTTAGAGATTGGGGGAAAAAATTGAATCCATGTAATCGTTGCAGTCAGAGTAGCCATCTTGGAAAATTTTCTTGAACAAATTACACCTGTGGAGCCTTTGACATGCAATACGACATTTCAGGATTACTTCCTAGAGATTATATGCAATAAGAGGGTTACATTTGTTCGACTGATTATAAAAAGGTAAAGAAACAAACACTGGACTGGAAGAAATATCAAGGTCAAGTTAATAGTTGACATTGGGGGAGAGATCTGAGTGGAGCCGAGCAGATCCAGTCTTCAAGTTTTGGGTATGGAAGGACCCACAAAGAGGCAATGACAGAACTGTGAGACTGTTCTGAGAGTGACAAAATACACGCACAGGGGGCAGGTAATTGAAACAGCAGCTCGTGTTGTTGCTTGGAATGCCCACATTGCCTGTGAGGGCCTATTGATGTCCATCCTGCCAGCTTCCTGCCAGGGTGATGCTCAGAGGCAGCAGGTGGTGGTTCAAGAACTTGAGTCGTTGCCACCCAGCGAGGAAGTACACGATGGAGTACCTGGCTCCTGACTCTGACTTCAGCTCGGCCAGCTATGCTTGTTGCCTGGATTTGAGAAATGAACTAGCAAAGAGCTCTCTCTGCTTGTGTTTCTCTGTCCCTCTCCTTCCGTTTCTTTCTTTCTTTCCGTTTCTTTCTTTCTTTTCTTTCTTTCTCCTTCTTTCTTCCTTCCTTCCTTCCTTTCTCTCTTTCTTTCTTTCTTTCTTTCTGCTTTTCAAAGAAAATTTAAAATGAAAAAATAATTTAAACTATGCATTATGCTGATCATTATACTACAGTTATTTTCCATATTATTATAATCCCAAGAGTAAAGAGAAGTCTAAATATGATTTTCAGTTGAGGTGGTAAGCCATTACCAAGGTCATTAGAAACACATTTTCAAAAGTAATAGTATGGATATCAAAAGAATGGAAGTGAGTAAAGGAAATGTTGTTTGTTGACTCACTCAACAAATGCAGGGATGAAGGAGTCTAAACTTAGTTCATGTATGAGCTGCGGATTTAAAAAATTTCTACCAAAAATTTTATTCTTTATTTCTATTTTTTCCATGAACTTTTGGAAATGCCCCTGTATTGAAAACAAAAATTGTACTGCCCTATTTGCCACTAGCATAGTATTGTAAAAAAAAGATGAAAATGTTAGAAAAGAATCTGAACCCCTGATATAGCAGAAGGAAAACACAAATTCAATGTAAATGTGACCATAAAAAGGAGTTTAAAATAAACAAGTAATAAACACTCAAATGCAGTGCAATATCAGAAAAAATGACTTTCTCTCCTAACTTTATACAATCTCAAGGGAACTTGGTGCTTGTAGCAAAAAAAGAAGTTAATGATTGCTTATTTTACCCAAGATACTAAAGTATCATGGTAGCACACTGAAAATTAGCAGTAGGAGAAGAGCTCTGTTCTCAACAAAGACACGAAGAGATACAGTCACAGGACACAGTGGTTCTGAATGAACCGCAAACCAGAAGCTCCAAATCGGCTACAAATTATCCAGTACCGAAGGCCTGCCATCCATTCATAATCGAAAACCGCATCTTTCTTCTTCAATTATTTTATGTCTGTGCATAGAAACCTAAAATCTTAAAATTACCCTTACAACACGGCAGATCGGTGCTGTCTGCCAAGCGGCTAGGACGTCTGTTTCCAAGAGAACTAATTTTGGTAATTATTACGGAAAAAGCAGAGTATTGCATCAGGTTTTACATTTGATCTCTGTTGGCATGAGGTGGAAATGTGGAAGTTCGCTACAAAGTTGTTCTAGTAAATTCAAGAAGAAAGGGAATGGCAGCCACCAAACACGCTTCAAGGCTTGCACCAGTATGACCCAGGGGGAGAATTCCTCCTGAACCACAAGATTTGGCTTTCATTTTAACTTCTCCGCTTCTGTGCGTGAGTAAGAGTCTCTAAGGTCGAGTGTTCATCCATGTAGCTAATTAGCCGTACAGCACTGTGGCTCTGAGATGATTCTCCAAGTACCTCCTGGGAGGGCCACATTTCACATGAAAGTGGCTTTTCTTTTTGCCTTGTTCTTAAGCAACAGGGAAAAAAACACATCTGTGTTCCACTTTAGCCAAACTTGACCTTGGAGATATTAGCCATGCTTTCTCTGTGGCTTTTCCTGCTGTTCCTTTTATGCTATTCCAGTTAAGACCTTCATCACTTGGACTCCCACTGTTTGTGGTCCTCTGTTCTCCATGCATGCTCTGCCTTCTGGACCCCTCGTGCCTTTGCTGTGCCTTTTATAATTTGCTCAGCTGATAAGATCTTCTCTGTACTTCCATCTCCTTTTAAATCTCTTGAGTAACACCCCAATTCCTGTATTCCACACACCCCACTGAAATACTGGTGCTTCCCCCAACTTCCATAATGCCAAGATGATCACCTAAGACCTCGAAATTGCCTAGTAATTAGTGCTACCTGTGTCCCTCTTGTTGGACTGTTTGAGAGGTGGAATTGGTGTGTTTCTCTACTTCTGTCCCGCAGCGTTTGCACGGGGCTAAGACACACACCGTACACATGCAGCGATGTTTCTTGCATGAAGGAATGAAGAAATGAATGAGGGAGGGAGGCATCCAGCAGATGCATTTACTAGCAAGTAAAAATGGATTCTGATAGAGCTGAGCAGAAACTCTTGCATGGTTTGATAACCACACTGACAATAGTGCAGTGACTTCTTGGGCCACGTGAATGTGTTTTCTTCTACCACACCTCTTTTGCAGGGGTGGGGGAGGTTTAATTTTCGTTTATCTGAAATCTGTAGATAGTTAGGCAGATAGCTTCTATTCTGATTCACTCCCCAAAGTGCCCACACCAGAACAGACAGGACCAGGTCAAAGCCAAGAGTCTGGAACCTGATCCAGCTTGGGCATGTCAATGGCAGAGACCTACCTACTTGAGCCATCCCCTGCCGCTTACCAATGTGCCCATTTATATTATACTAGAATCAGGGGCCAGCGTTACGCTGTAGTGAGTTTAACCACTGCCTATACTGTTGGTATCCCTTGAGGAGACAGTTCAAGTTCTAACTGCTCCATTTCAGATTCGGCTTCCTACTAATGTGCCTGGGAAAGCAGCAACAGATGGCCCAAGTTTTTGGACCGTTATCAAAGACCCAAATGGATTTTCGGGTTGCTGGTTCCCAGCTGGCTCTATGAAGATTGCTTTATTTATTTAAAGGGAAGGTTTCAGTGATAGAAGAGTGAAAATCTTTCATCCACTCATTCACTCCCCAAATGACTGCAGTGACCAGGGCTGTGCCAGGCCCGAGCCAAAAGCCAGGAGCTTCCTCTAAGTCATTCACATGGTCCAGGGGCCCAAAAACTTGGGCCATCCTCCACTGCTTTCTCAGGCTCATTAGCAGGGAGCTGGATCAAAAGTGAAACAGCCAGCTTTCCAACCAGTTGCCCAAGTAAGATAGATATACTGCAGGCATAAACTGCTACACCACAGCACTTACCCCAATAAATAAATCTTAAAAAAAAAAAATTAGGCTAGAGTCAGAATCAAAGCTCTCATCCATGCACACACATATCAATTCAGAGTATGGTCTTCCTCTTAAAGAAAAACAAATTATATACTTTTTAAAAAGATTTATTCGTTTTCATATGAAAGCCTGTTTTAGGAAAGGAGAGATAGAGAAATCTTCCATCTTCTGGTTTGCTCCCTAAGTGGCTGCAACAGCTGAACATATCTGAAGGCAGGAACCAGGAGCTTGTTAGTTTCCCATGTGGACGCAGGGGTCCAAGGGCTAAAGCCATCCTCCACTGCTTTCTCAGGCCATAAGCAGAGAGCTGGATCAGAAGTGAACAGGTGGGATGCAAACCAGTACCCACATGGGATGCTGGTGCCATGGATGTTGATTTATCCTGTTGTGCCACAGTGCCTGCCTGAAAACAAAAATGTAATTTTTGAATGATTTATGTATTTGTATTGGAAAGGCATATTTATAGAGGGAAAGATAATCTGTTCCCAAGTGGTCCAACAGTCAGAGCTGAGCCAACCCAGAGCCAGGAGCTTCTTCCAGGTCTCCCACATGGGTGCAGGGTCCCAAGACTTTGAGCTTCTCTCTACTGCTTTCCCAGGCCACAAGCAAGGAGCTGGATGGGAAGTGGAATAGCTGGGATGCAAACCAGTGCCCATATGTGATCTCAGCACATGCAAGGCGAGGACATTAGCTGCTAGGCTATCATGCTGGGCCCAGAAAAATCCAATTTCTATCTCTGATAAGATCTGGCGTTTCTACGTAGTTATTTTTCTTTGAAAAAGCAATCATAATTATCCATCAGCCACTTTAACTGTCTGATTGCCAAGTGCCTTAGGTAAATCACAAATATAAATTATCTGTAATATCTGATTTCTTGGCTATGTCTCTGAGTGCTGTGTTTTTACATAAAAGCATAGATTGCTGAATGAGAGTGCTAAAAAACTAGTATATGTTATGCCAATTCGTGGAGCGATAGGAACTATGACAGTCATCCTAACCCAATTGATTGTAATCGCGTGTCAAGCCACTAATTGAAAGCTAATTTCACCAGTGAGATTAACAACGAAATGATGATAATTATGAATCGCAGCACATACATCTTCAGAAAGGGCAGTACACTGACACCTGACGTCTTGTAAACTGAGGGCATTGCAGATGGGGGGAATAAAACACCTATGTTCTCTAACTGAAGTTGGGTTAACATCGGACGGGCAAATCAGGCAGAATGAGCCACGTTTCCTTCATAGTTCATCATGCAGCAAGAGGTGGCAATTTCCACTACATGGAAGAAGCAAGCAGCCCACACAGCATCCCTCAGACTCCTTTGACTCCCCTTTTCGTGCAAACCCCAAGACAGTGGTTAAACCCATTTTTGACCCCGAGTATTTTTGTCAGTTTGACAGATTGCCTTCACTGAGATTCCTAAGAGCAACGTGTACATGAAGAGTTAGCTTGGGGAACAGAACAGAACAGTGTTTCAGGCAGTCGTTGCTCAGGGCCAACATTTGAGGAAACATGCTGTGAAGGAGAGTTGCTTCTGTCTTGCTCATAAATCAATTTTTAAAATTTTTGAAAATTTGTTTCACAGAGTTTTCTATTAGAAGTCTTTGCTGGGAACCCATGATATAAAACAGATAGGAGTGGAATTGTTCTGCAGTCAAGAATGAAGATCCACAGCATCATTCACTTGGGTTATGCCTGTGTGGTAGATGGTTTTTGATGATCTTGCTAATGCAGTAACTGTGAAGTTTCATGTTATTCATTGGATCTGCTGTTAGCTTGGGATTGATGGGCCTGTCCTTAAGAACAGGGAAATAGTCTGGGTGCTCCAGGCCAACTCACAGAGATGGATTTGCTTGTCCCACGCTTGGGTAGGGAGAGCTCTCCCATGTCACACATGGTGGCCTATGGAAGCATGTGTGATGCATCGCAGGCTGCCGAGCAGAAGCTAGAACTTGGGAGAGACCCTTCCAGAACCTGGGCTCCATCTTTAGCTAACTGCAATCTTGTGAAAGTTAACTTAATCTTCCTCATGTTCCATTTCTCGCTTACAAGACTGCATTGGTAATGGCACATATAGCCTAGGGGTACTGTGAGGATGATTGAGGTAGTAAGTCTTTTAGCTCTTGCCATTGTGGCCTTGCTAGGGGGTCATGGCTCAAAAGGCGAGAGGTTATTTCAATACGGGTGTTTTCTAAGTGAGTGAGTCTGTGGCTGTAGAACTAGCTTTCTCTTTCTAGCATTCTGCATCTACATGTGACTTAATTCAGTTTTAAATATTAAAATTCAAATCTGTTTCTAAAGAGGTTTATTCGAGAAGCAGAGTTATAGAGGTGCAGCAGAGGCAGGAGAGTGGGGGCAGCAAAAGTCGTCTGGTTCCCTCCCACAGTGGCTACAATGGCCCAGGCTGAGTCAGGTTGAGTCTGAGAGTCTGGAACTCCATCTGGTCTTCCATATTGGTGGCAGAAGTGCAACCACTTGGACCATCTTCCTCTGCTTCCCCAGGCACATCAGCCGGGAGCTGGGTCACAGTGGTGTAGCCATTGCTGAAGTTTCCACATGTATGGGATGGCAGCATTGCAGGTTGCAACCTAACCCACCACCCCCTTAGGTTTGCTTTTTAAAACAAATTCTTAATGCAAATGATCAAATTCTGATTGATATAGTTGCATAACCTTTGAGGGAGTTAAAAAATCGGGATGCCACTATAACACAAACAACTTTGATTTGGAGATCACAGAGCTTGTCAACTTTAACGTTTGTGTCTGTGTGCATTTGTGGACATAAAAACACTCTGTAGTGCACATCCCAATTAGCTAGAAGTGCTTGCTACATGCAGGTTGTCAGGAACCTTCCAGAGCTTCTGCTTTGATGTGAGTCCTGCGAATTTGCATTTCTGACGGGTTGCCAGCTGATGCTGACCCTCATGGTCCAGAGAATACACTTTGAGCATCATTTTTTTTTAATTTAAAAAATGCATTTGAATAGTGGAGAACAAATCCCATCCTCTGATGGAACCGTGTGGACCCAATTAAAGGCAGTACCCTGAAACCCAATTCAGGTCCCCAACCTGGGTAGCACTGTTCCAACCCAAGTACTTCCTAAGCCTTCGCCTGCTGCCGTCCTGAGCGCATACGAGCAGTAAGCCGGTGTTGGGAGCAGATCCAGAACTCAAGCCCAGGTGCTTCACCACTGGATACGGCTGTCCCGGGAGGCATCTTAACTGCTGTGCCAAATCCCCAGCCTGTATCACTCATTTAAAAGTAACGAAGACTGATTTTTACTATGTGGTTTCATTTGGCGAACAGAGGGAAAACGTGCTTCTAAAAGTTTGTTGAAAAATGGAATTGTAAGATTATTTTGGCATCAGAAATGTGAAATGCATGCCAAGTTTTTGGATAATACACATTTTTCAGAAGCTTTTTTTTTTTTTTTATTGCTGCCGGTTCACTTACCAAAGGCTTGTAACTGCTGGAAGAGGAGCAGACAAGGCCAGGAGCAAGGGACTCAGTGTAGGCCGCCCCAGGAGGTGGCAGGAACTCAGTGCTAACTTGCATGTGCTTTAGCAGGAAGCTGGAGAGAGGAGCTGTAGCATGGTATTGAACAGGCGCACGCTGGTGTGAAATTGGGGAATCTTCCTAGAAGTCTAAGCCCTTGTGCACTCCTGAAGTTTTTTTGAAGTACCCTTGTACTCTGTGTTTTAGGATCTGTGGCATCACGTAAGTTTCTGCCATAATTGTAAAATGTGTGATTTTTTTTTTCTAGGTAGTTCATGTGGAAAATCTCCCCTAAGTATTTTTTTTTAATTGGAAATCAGATATACAGAGAGAAGGAGAGACAGATCTTCCATTCACTTGTTCACTCTCCAAGTGGCCACAATGGCTGGAGCTGTTCCCAAGGTGTTGGGCCATCCTCCACTGCTTTCCCAGGCCATAAGTATGGAGCTGAGGACAGGAACTGGTGCCCATATGGGATCCTAGTGCATGCAAAGCCACAACTTTAGCCACTAGGCTACTGCTTTGGGTTCCCTGTGTATATTTTCTCCTTCATTTGTGTTAAGCCTCTAATTTCATTTTTGAACTGATAAAAGCAGATTCTGCACATAATCTTAGCCAATAGGCTGAGAAGCAGCCTAATGTCATTTTCAGTGTGAATATACATTGCCTGTTGAGAACAGAATTGAAGCTTTCATCCAACCTTGGCTGTGTTAACAAGTTTGTATCTGCACTCTTTCTGTGGTGTTACCCTCTGCACTGACTGACACGTGCTTTGTTGTTCTCTTTTTGTAGTATGGAAGAGAAGAAAGCGACTGGACAATCGTATTATCCTGAGTGGAAAACACAGAATACCAACTGTACGCGCTTGGGATAAACCTGTTGCAGTTGAATGGTGATAGATTTCTTTGACTACCTGTTAGTTGATGTCCCTACCGTAGCTCGTAGGATCGGTGTGTTCTAAGGATGATTCTCCTTTTAAGCTAGAGAAAACGAATTGCAATCATTCATGGTGTCTTGTAACCTTGGCAATGGTTGCTTACGTTCCCTTTTCCCAGAAAGATAATAATGCAAGTCACATAACGTAGAATTTCCTTTAGTAATTTGCCTCCCTTCATCCTTTTTAGATTAAAAAAAAAAGATTGTTTACTCCTTGGTATAAATTATGCTCTGCTCCTCAACCAAATGAGCTGATTGGAATATATTTCATGGATGCCATTCCCTGCATCGCATCTTTATCTTTGGAAAGTGTTTGTTTGTTTTTCATGTCAAGACTCATCTCATGTGTTTGCAGGCGCCTGAGTCCATCTCAGGGCATGTATCTTATTGTTGATGTCACAGTTCTCTCCAATCTCGCCCTGTGTGTCAGTGAGGCCTGAGCACACATGTGCTGTTGCCCTTGCCACAAGGTGTGTCATTGGCTGTCAGTCAGGCTGCTAGAGAACGAAGGATCTTATGCCTCAGATCTTGGTATCCCCAGTGCCTGGCAGGTGGTGGCAACTCCAATCCACATCGTACATAACGAAGGACTGTGTTGCCTGTGTATAGGTGTATTTTGTTTCTGTATTATGAATTGTCCTTATTAGAATTTGTGATGGATTCAATCAGGGTATGTATTAGCTTCATAGTCACTTTGTATTCCCTCGACTACTAAACTGGTGCGGTTACTCAAAGGTGTAGTTGGTTGAAGGAATCATTTCCGATTTGAAGACTGTCTTGAGATGGGACCAGTAGAGAAGTCACAATATCATGCCCACCAAATGGAGATGACAAATGTTGAATATTAAGTCTTAAATGCCAAATAAACCATCTGTTGACAGTGACAGGTAGAAACAGAGGTATGTTATAGTTTTTATACTCTATTTTTTTCTAAGTATTCTCTATTTGTTTTATTGAATGGAGATCAGGTGAACAAATGGTGACAGCAGAGGAAGAGCTGTGAATCACAATTGTATCCTGACTGGTTTATCTTGATAAGAAACATTTGTCCTTGGAAGGTCAATTCTCAGATACTGAATTCTGGTTTTCTTCAGTTCCCAATAATTTCCATTTCACTGATCATATCTGATTGTTTTTTCAGAACAAGGAAAAAGCACATTCTAAAACTTGGATGCACTGGAAAGCTTTCCTTGAGGCATTTAGCAATACATAGTAAATGGGCTTTGATTCTTTTCCAAAACTTTTTGCCTTAGGGTCTTTTTAAGACATGACTGGTAAAAATGGAAATTAACGAAGATGAAAAGAAATGGTGAAAGTATCTTTTGGAAGAATTTTAATTGGTGATCTCAGATTTGGGGAGGTCTCCTTTTCAGATCTCGGGTGCCCTTCAGGATCTCTGCAGCCTAAATGCACTCGCCTCATTTTTAATATTCCTGTCTCATGGAGAGTTTCAGCTAATTTTCACTTGTTTTATGAGAAATGGAAATTATTACTTTGCCATTATATTTTATACATGAACATACTCACGGTTAAACTTAGAGAGCATTGGTTTTGTATGATTACATAAAAAAAAAAATAAACATTGTATGCCCTTGCCATCAGACTAGCTGAAGATTTGGGACATGCATTTGTAAAAACTGGAATCCTCCTAACACAGATAGCACAATCTGCCATTCTCATTAAAGTCATGGAAATTGACCTTGACATTAACTTGTTAAGCAGATGTAAAAGGAACATCTGCACATCTTGTTTTCTTATTCACTGTTTGTTTAATTGCAGTGGAGTTGTACAGCAAGAGTGCCATGTTCTATCTAGGCAATTATCCATTCTTCAAGACTTAGTTATCGCAACACTAATTGATCATTTAAGGCGTAAGATAGTCTAGCATTAGGAACATGTGAGCTAATCTGCTCAAAAAGATCAACAAATTAATATTGTTGCTGATATTTGCATAATTGGCTGCAATTATTTAATGTTTAATTGGGTTGATCAAATGAGATTCAGCAACTCACATGTGCATGAATATAAACAGACTTGGTGGCACTTAAAATGATCATGATTAACTTACTTTGCATGTGCTCTTCCCACTTTATCCAGTTTTTACATTTCAAACCCAATTTATCAGCTTTTTCAAAAATATATCTGTAGAAACCAGGATTTTGAAATAAGTGTTATTCAGGCATAAGAAAAAAAAAACCCATGAGTTTCATAAGAGATTTGCTGTTAGGAATTTTGTTTTGTCCATCACGTATTAAGGATTCAGCTCGTGGTATTCTCAAGTGTCCCCTTTGGGGAGGTGTGTCCTGACCTTGGGTCGGGACAGCTAGCCGGAAGTAATACAGGAACACTTGCTTTCACCTTTACTTTCAGCAGTGCAAAGGCAAAGGAAATAGGAATAGCTAGGAATTATGTTAAGGAATTATATATTTAATGTATGAGTTTTTCTTGGTGTAGAAAGTTTTTTTTTTTAAGTTATGCATTATTTTTTTCATAATACTCATTTTCCTTCTAGTTCAGGGGGAAAAATTGCACCAAAATTAACTCAATTTTGTTTTTTAAGTAATGTGTGCTTCCTGTTTAAAAACACATAGGTAGAAAAGGAAGATTTTCTGTCCACAGGATCATCTCCTCAAATGCCCAGAACAACCATGGTTGGGCCAGGCTAGAGCCTGGAGCTTGGAAATCCAGGTGGGTCCACACGCAGGTGGCAGGCATCCCCGTGCTTCCATCTGCTGCCTCCCAGATGTGTTAGCAATAAATCTGACCAGAAATAGAAAAAGCAAAACTCGATCCAGCTACTCCAGTATGGGATGGGGACCCCCAAGCAGCAACATAAGCCCCTTGCCAAATGCCTGTCCTAAAACCCATAGTTTGGGTTCAGATTGTTCCAGAAATGTTTCGAAGCACCCTTGAGCACTCTTCTTGCCTGAATTGGGTTTGCTCCCGGATTCATTTGGTGGTTTCCAGTCTGAGCCTTCTGGGGCACTTGAAAGCAGTTTATATCGTAGGAGAAATATACAAGCTGTTATTATTAAAGCTGCAGTTTCGCTTCTGCTTTAGTGTAATTGTGCTGTGAAAACAGCTGCCAAAATAAACTTGCTTTTTTTCCCCAGTTCCAGTTCTACTCAGTGCTCCATCCCTGGGTTCTGTTTCCTTTTAAAAAATATCTATGTTCACTTTACCCTTAGGGAGATGTGGGGGAATGGATTTTAAGTAGAAAAACTACCTTTGTTCATCTTCATTGAGTGATACTGTCTAAAGTATTTCGAGCGATCAAATGTTTGGCAGATGCACCTGGCAAAATTGTTTAGCAAGGGTTAGAGAAACTCTTTACTTCATTAACTGAACCATAACATGCTCAAAGATCCAATAACTTCGTTGTAATATGGATATATGGGTTTCGTCTAGCTGGATATACAAACATGGAAGCTACAATTGATAAAGTTAGTTAGAAGATGTTTTGTAACAACTATCTTTTGTCTGCCACGAGTAGAAATTGTTCAGCTGTCAGTTTTCCAGGTAAAGTCCTCCCCCACCATTGCCAGAAGGAAGTGCAAGAAATGCGAGCTTTTAAAGAAGCCTTACCTGTTCATTGACAGAGTTTGTGTAGTTAACTAGAGATTATATTAAGTAAAGCTTATACAGGTTATGTGATAAATGTTGTAATTAAAAATTTAGGTTTGGAAGAGAATAGTATGTAAGTGTTACCCTCATGCGATTTATTGTCCACTACTTGTTTTTTTGTTGTTGTTGTTGTTGTTGTTTTTTTTTTTTTACTAAAGAAGCAATGTTAAATAGTTAATAGTTTATAATAAGTAGAGAAATGCCAGAGTGCATGTCTCTTTAAGAAATCACAATGAATATTTCTTCCTAAATTTGTAGTTATTTTTAAAACTTAGTTGAGAGGCAGAGAGAGGTCAAGGGACCAACAGAAAGGAATCTTCCATCCAGTGGTCAGTGTCCCGAACGTCTGCAGTAGCTGGGGCTGAACCAGGCCAAAGCAAGGAGCCAGGCACTCGGTGTCCTTCTCCGCCAGGAGACGGACGAGAATCAAATACTTGTACCAGTGTGCTGCCTTCCAGTGTGCACATGAGCAGGAAGTGGACCCCAAAGTTGAGCTGAAACTCGAACTTAGCCACTTCAATCTAAGGGGTAGCCATCCCAAGTGGTATCTCAATTACTGAGCCCAGTTCCCACTTCCATCACATATATTTTAGGAAATATGTCCTTTTTTCTTTTATCAACCTTTCTCTTCCTGCAGTTTCAAATGAGTTCAAAGGGATATTATGTAGTTATTCAGCCATGACCTGCATGGTGTGATTGAGTTTCTTCTGGATTCCTCATTACCAATCTCATGCCTTTGTTTGCATATTTTATCTAACAAACCCTGCAGATTACAGCATCTGTGTCAACTTCCAAGCCAATCATACTGTAATAAACTGAGAAAATGAGGCTAGAGTGAACTTGTTAATGAAATGTCTGTTAGGAACTAGTTACTCAGGAAAGAATTTTTCTAGAACCAAGGTCTCTTATACTTTGAGATTCTTAAGAAAGACCATTAAAAGTATTACAAAGAGATGACTTTTACTCGTTGCTTAAAAACCCTTACCATCTCCTTCCCCGCCCCCCCTTGCAAAGTTTTATTTTGAAAGACAGAATTAGAGAGGGAAAGACGGACTGAAGGCTTCCATTCACTGGTTCACTCCACAAACAGCCACAGCTACTGGGGCTTAGCTGGACTGAGTTTGGAGCTAGGTACTTCTTCAAGGTCTCACTGCATGCAGGGTCCCAAGCATTTGGGCCATCTTCCATTGCTTTCTCAGGGGCATTGACAGGGAAGCTAATACCACGAAGGTTGGGGCTGGCATTGTGCTGCTGTAGATTAAGCTGGCAGTAATGCCAGTATCCTGCCTGAGTCTGGCTCCAGGCTTGGGCTCTACCTGTCATCCAGCTCTCTGTTAACTGCCTGGGAAAGCAGTAGGAAATGTTTTAAGTGCTTGGGCCGCTGCCACCCACATGGGAGATCTGAATGAAGCCCCTGGCGACCACCTGGTCATTGTGGACGTTTGGGGAGTGAACTTTATAATTACATAGTCTGTAAGATCTGTTGTGTCAGTTCTAAACCATTTTATTTAAAGTCTCATGAAAGTTTCTTAAGGTTAAATCAATGACAAGGAGTGTATCATAGTTTTTGTTTTCTTGGTAATATTATTTACCACTACCCCCTGCTCCTCAGTGGGAATAAATAACTTACCTGGTGATTAACTGAAATATGCGACAACAGATTTCCAATTTTCTCAGACTAGCTTCTCATAGTCACTAAAACATTTCTCAAAGTTTAGAAAGGGTTGCAAATATTTTTTTGAAGATTACAAGAAATTCTCAAGAATATGG